CAAACGCCCATAGATGCACGCCCGCCCTGCCAGCAATCTCGACATCCCAAGGGGGAAGCATCCTAGTGGCTGGCTCTTGCAACACAACCTCAGCGCATTCAACAAGACCACTTGGTACGTTGACAGGTAGCCGATGTTGCAGACAGCCTCCATACCTGACGGCATATTGGTCCCAAGTCATATGCATGTATGCAGCCATGGCTCAGGAGAGTGGTCCCTTTCAGGTAGTCTCGCAGCCAGAACACCGGTTCGGTTCCTCTCTCTTCTTTTTTGTTTCCATCTCTTTCTTTCCTGGCTTCCCCATCCGTATTTCACATACGTACCCACTCAGCCCTGCTGCTTAGATGGGAGGGGCCATGTACGAGTATGTGTTTGCCAGCAACTGGCAAGCTGGCGACAAGGTGTCGAGACAACTCATCGAGCCATGAACTTGGTGCCCGGGATTGGGATCCGGCGGACACGCCGGCACCACCAGACGCCAGCAATTCTGAAAGCTGTACTCCGTATGACTCTGTATTCTGGCTGACAGCGTGGATGGGACCTGCTCCGCACATGCATTAGCACTGCCTGGATTGCCTCGGAGTACAGTAAATGCTAATGGGTAGCAAACTTATAAGAGCCGCGTCACACGGGGCTGTCGACCGGGGAATCAGTGGTTCACGGCCGAGCTGGCATCAAGGTGAGTACGGAGCACGGAGTGGCTGGTTGCGCGACAGCGCAGAAACTTGGCTTTGACGGCTTCACACCCCCAAGGCATATTGGCCCAAAGCAGTAGTGCCACAGAGCCACAGTCGTATGCCTTGGTCGGCAGAGATGGTACCAAGATAGGCAGAAAGAAAAAAGAGAGATTCAGCAGTGAGAGGACGAGCAGTGCTGATTTGTATGCACCAATTGTATCGGGTGGGTAAGGGTATTGATGATGACTGAATCCCCCTGGTCGTTCGGCAGACGTATCACGGCTCAGAATCCAGCAGCGCCGATACTTGGGAGAAACGGAGGCGGCGGCGTCCCCCTTGTCAGCCTCTGCTGAACGGCTGCTGTATGCTGAAGCTGGTGAGCAACGGATCAGCCATCGTGCCCATTGTGGCCCAAGAAGTGATTTTTTTAGCCATCCATGCATGCAACGTGTATGTGGGTATGCTTGCTGGTGTGGGTGGTTTATATGCCTGTATGCATGGCCGCAGTATGAGTACGAGTAGGTATGCTCGCGCCTGCGCTTGGAGGTGAAAGACGGAGATGCTCTAGGTATCTATCACGACATCTCAGTCAGTCAGTCAGTCAGTCTGTCTGTCTGTCTTGTCTCTATTCCCTTTCTCGATACCTTAGGCACCCAGCCCGTCTTGACGTCAGGACCTCTACCTCTGCGGTACCCAAAGACATAAGACATCTCCATAATATTCGTCCGCATCTGTGGTAAGTGACAAGTACAAGTAGCAGCTGTCGGCAAGGGCGAACAGCTGCCTCCATACAAAAAAAAAAAAGTGCACAGACCTTAATCTGTCCGGTGTGGGGCTCACCGGCAGTAGTCCCGCGTTTGCTCGGCGGTGGCTTCCTTGTCACTCTCCCATCAAGTCAAGGTACCTTAGGTACTCAATAGGGCCTTTGTAGTACGGGGTAAGGGGTATGGAGAAGTACGAGGTACTATGAGATGCTGCCCTCCGCGCCGCGTGGTTTGGGCTGGGACCGGGTATCGAGTACGGGGAAGATACCTGTTCAGCGTCGCCAGGGGCAGGGGCATTGACTTTGAACATCGCCGTGCCTCCCATTGGCATGGCGGCTGAGATCCGGCCTAAGGGCGCTAGTAAAGACTGGACGCATTGTGCCTGTGTTTTCACTTTGGGATATCGTTTGGCGGTGCCATCTTTATCTCCCAATTTCTACTCGTCGTGTGCTCTGCTGATGCTGATACTGCCGAACCCTGTGCTCATATCAGTAACTTCATTACTCATCTGGAACCTGGAGAACGAAGAAAAGACAAGCAAGTCTCAGACATTTCCCTCCGAGTGCGGTCATGTCATGCTGGCGCGCTGGGAATAGGCGAGCAACAGCACAGGACGAGATGGACGCCAAATGCTACCTCAACACAGCACAGCACAACACAACACAGCAAAAGCACCAGCGCATCGCTCCCACACACACGCACTGACAATTCACACCCCACCCTCCTACTGGTAGACTCAAGCTCAACCTTGAAATTACATGGACTCCATCCATTGGTATCCCGTACACCAATACTTTGCCGGTGCAGGGGGGACTCAAGTCGAGCCAGAAAAAGAAAGCAGACAATCACCACCCACCGCAGCCCCAGCAAATGATCCCGGCTCCATCACACTCGTCCGCCTCCAACGGAACAGCTGCTTGAATTGAAGCTTGCTTCTTTGGCCCCATGCTCGCCTTGTGCTCCCCATGCTAGTCGTCTTTTGTTGACCCCCGGTCCTGGGCTACATCTGGCAGAAAATCCAGCAGCGGCGTCAGAAAAAGATAATGGCCCTCTCTACTGTTGTCTCTGCTCGGCCATCATCTCCCCCTTAACGTCGTCGATGGACCAGAATAGAAACCCAGTGGACAAATGATGGCATCTAGAGAGACGCCTCCTTGTACGCCTTGCCGTCCATTGTAATATTTGTACTCCCCTTTGCCTTGACCGTTGTCTAGGCCCTCTTACATGCAGTCTGCCGCAGCCGCTCCGTGTCAAACACGCAAGCATTGACAGCGCAATCACCACCTCGACGCCTAAATTTGATACCAAGACTCTCGTTTTTTTCTCCGGCCCGCCTGCATCTAATTCCTACTAGCTTCTCTCCGGCTGCCACATCACACACGGCTGCTTCTCATCTGCTGGGGCTCCCCCCCTAGTCCATCGTCTCGGATGATTCATCCTCGTCCACTTCATCTCTCCACCAGGCTCGAGAAACAGGACCAGCCCCCGTCAGGCCGAGTCCACCACGATATAAGACATCGCGTCTGCGCCGTCTGAACCACAGACTCCTCTCTCTCTCTCTCTTCCAACCCGCCATCCCCAGACCAGTGCTTTGACCGTCTCGATCAACGCAAAAGTGCTCAGATTCACCCCACACGCCGCCTTTCCTGCTTTGGATATAGATACTCCCTTGAGATCCCGCCATCCCTCATTCCAGCCTTTGCTCGATCCGCCATACTATATAATACCTATAAAGTCTGCCACGCCTCACCTCTCTTCTCTTCGACCATTGGCCTCTTCGACGCTCGACACCGTCATCTACGCAGTCCTCTTCTCGCCCCTTTGCTTCTCCTCGACCTCGAACATTTACACTACACCAGTCACACCTATCCATTACCTACCTATAATACCCAAAATGTCGTCCACCACCTCCTCTGCTTCTTCCTACACCTCTGGCGCAAGCTGGCAAGAGCGCCTTGAAGGTACGAGTGGCCACATTCACCATTGACCCTCGCCTTGACATGACTGACTTGTTATATAGAGGCTTGCCGCGATGCTCAAATCATGCCCCCCACTTTCCAGATTGTGTCTGATCGCCGAGGTATGGCACACATTCTCTCCTACCTATGAGGCACTTGATTGCATCCATGAGCTAACAGATTCTGGTTTCCAGGCGGCCGAACAGCTTGGTCCAGCCAAGTCACAATCCGGGGTCAGACTCTCGCAGCACGATACTGGTACGATGGCAAGAATCTCAACAACGCCAAAGAAGATGCCGCCGAGTGCGCCCTGAACTGGTTGAGCAGGGCGGCTTGGTGAGCAGTCACCGCTACTTGCATGCCCAGTAGCATTGTTCGCTGATGCTACGGAATTTTCGCTGCCCGCCACTAGCGATATCGAGGATGCAGCTCAATGTCTTGCATACCTGGCTTTTCATTCCTTCACTTTGCCTACTTCTTTCACTCTCTTATTATTTTCTTTGTGGGGTTTCATCAAGTTTGGAGTTGGAGTACAGAGAAAGAAAGCCTTCCATCGTGGGGTCATAAAGAGGACGGCTATGGGAACGGCGCAATTTGCAATTTTGCCATGTTTTGGGAACTTCTCTCTTGATCTATCGGGAATCTTCTCTTCTGGCCTTTTACCGTGATTGCTCAATACCCTTGGAGGCCACTCAGCCCCAATGAACAGCATTGTCCGTGGAAGATACAAAAAAGGGCGGCACACGACCACAGATCCTTGTCACGCTGCGTTGGTATCGCGATTGCGAAGATGGAATTTGTTGTATTGGACTAACGAACTTGTTCATTTGTCTGTTTGTTTTTGCTTTTTTTTTTTTCTTGCTTTTTTTTTGCTAGGGTTTTGATATGAATTTTTGCTGGTCTGATTTTGTTTGGTTTGATTTTTTTATCAGTTGGGAGGGCTATTTCATTTTGCATTTCGATCTCAATATCAGGAAACGCCAAAGACGAATGCTGTATTATGACGAGTTCAAGAATGATGGAAGAATGGCGACGGCGCATAGCCCAATAACGAGGGTGGAAGGTTGATACTAATAATTACCTACCATGTTTGTCAATTCGAAGAAAAATAGGAAGCTCCGCATTGGAATCGCATGACCTAGGAATGGGCCGGCATGTGAGCAGCTCCAAAGCTGCTCGATGCTATACTTGTGCTTCGTGCTTCGTACACCGTAAAAGCCTCCGTATCCCAGACTTGCTCGAGTGGTTACGGTAGGACGAGGTCATGTGGCCAAGGAGGAAATGAGAGCCCCGACCTTGGCGTCCAAGGGATGGGCAGCTGCCAGTCAATGCAGTGGAACAAACCGTGCAAGTGCAGGGATGGGTTAGATTCATCGGTCAAGCCCATCTCAGATGAGCATGCAAGGATGGATGAGCATCGTTGCGGGATGACATAATCAAGTTGGAGTTGGATTCGGACCGGAATTGTTCCGATCGGCACAGCGACGGCGGTGGTGGGCGGCTGTAATTTTCATGGAGGGACATTGGAAGGCGATCCCGCGAAGTGTCGACGACGAAGAATTGCGCCTTGGGAGCCCATTTGGTAGCACCGGAGCACCACCATGGCTTCAAGATTGAAGATCTGGGGCGCATGCAGGACCCTGGCGGTCCGGATGCAGCCCGTCCGCCTTGCGGCTCAGCCATTCCGAGCCCAGGCTTCATCGACTCGATTCTACGCCGACGATGCGACCAACAAATCCTCCAAACCTCCGAGCGGTGCGAAGAGAGAAGCTTCCGGATCGGTTGCCGATTCAGAACCGAGAAGCGCCAGGGCTACTGAGGGCGCCTCTGAAGAATTGACCCAGAAAGCCTCGCAAGATGTTGGTTGATTCCTCCCCCCTCCCCCACAAGTCGAGTGTACCTCAAGTGCTGACCAGCTGGGAACGTAGACATCTTCATCACAAGCGTCATCGATTGAAGCGCTGGACGATGCGACCTTGGAACAGATACTATATGGCGGCCGACCCGTAACAAGTCAGCGGGAGGGCGGCTTGACAGCGGCGCAAGAGGAGGCTCTATATCGCGAGGGTGTCATTCCCCCACCAGAGCAGGCGGAAGCCATTGTTGCTGCCGGGTCGCAGTCAATAGTCCCCGTTGGCTCAGAAGTGCAAAACGCCGGCCACAAGTTTGGACTTCCTCAAAAGCCTTATCCAGACGGGTTCAACGTCAAGAAGCGATACCACCCCGTGCTGGAGCAAATCACCAGGCTCCTGATGCGCCATGGAGAACTCAGTGTTGCGCAAAGAGTAAGTCATAATGCAGGCCGCCATAGCACCAACTCGGATTACTGACAGCTTTGCTTTAGAATATGGCTTCTGTCATGAACTTCTTACGAACGTCGCCCGCCCCCATCTACAGCCCGAAATTCCCCCTATTACCAGGGACTCCGCCCGCCGCCCACCTCTCTCTTAACCCCGTCCTCTACATCACAATCGCCATCGACTCGGTTGCGCCGCTCCTCAAAGTAAGGAACATTGCCGGCGCTGGCGGAGGTGGCCGCGCCCTGGAACTCCCCGTCCCCCTCGCCGTCAGGCAGCGCCGAAGGATGGCGTTCCAATGGATCCTGGACGTCATCAACAAGAAGCCCTCGAAAGGCAGTGGGCGGAACCAGTTTGCCCATCGGATAGCTGAGGAGATCATCGCCGTGGTGGAGGGCCGGTCGAGCGTCTGGGAGAAGAGAAAGCTGGTACACAAGCTTGGCACGGCGGCTAGAGCCAACGTGGGATCCAACAAGCTGAAGACGAAGAAGAAGAAATAAACGACGTGATGCGACGGCGGATTTTGAATGTATATTAGATGTGTATTCTACGGCAGCGAACAGGTAGATGGGAAAAAAAATAAGAGGCGGGTTCGTGAGAAGCTTTGAATAGGCTTGTACATTACGTTAGGTACCTAGTAGAACAACTTGCGAAACCAAGTCAAAGCAAAAAACAGTGTCAGTTTCAACAGTTCAACGTATGTACGTATTGCCCATTGAATTGATGCTTTTTATATGCACGCGCACTGCAAACACTGGCTCCATAACAAGTATAGATCAGCACATTTACCTAAATAAATGCACATCACGGACGCCCCTCTAATCCGGCCTGCTGTACAAAGTATCGCCTGCATGTGACCAACAGGCTCGGCTCTAATTCATACCTACTAGGTAGTACCTACGCACACCCAAAAAGAGAGCAACTGGGAGGCGGCCCCCGATCCGGGTAGGTAGATCAAGCCCATTTTTAAGGTTAATAGGACGAGCCAGACCAAAGAATGGCCGTCGCACGTAGAGCAGTCCATGGATCCCAAACACCCAATGAGAGCACTCCAAGGCCGGCGGTTTAGCGGAGTAGCACAGGGCAGTGCAAAACATTCAAAGTTATAATTCAGCTATGAAGCGGGCACGGAGTTGAGCCATGGCTGCGGGTTACACAATGAGGAGCGATAAGCTCAGCTTCTCTACTCTCTTGATTCCATCGTCAACAGTTAACAGGGTGGCGAAGGTGAGGCTAGCAGCAGGGCCCAGCATCTCTCGTTGGCTGGGAAAACCGACCCCCCTTTTTCTGACCAGGTAGGTATGCACGAGGGCATGCAATGCGACTGCTCTCCCTTGCGTCCGAATTAAACTCAATCGCGATGCTGCTGTGCTGCCGGGCTAGGGGAAGCCACGGGCTGCTAACGAAGGGCCGGGCACGTTTAGGGGCGTTGGGGGCCAAAAGATGAATTCTCACGATGGCACGAGGTGAGGAGGATGGCCAACCATCACCTCTATGAAAAGCATCAGGTTGGATCAAGAGAATCGATGTCGAGCACCACTGAGTTGGAGAATGGGCACTAGACTAGACAGGTACCTAGCAGTTATAGCACGTCCGTCCAGTAGCTTCAGGGCGTGCCAGCACAGCTCGTTCCGCTAAACGGAGCTTCGTCACTGCCCTACGAAGCCCCTCCCCTCTCACTGGAGCGTTTTAGGCTTCCCCCAGGCTCCTCCATCTTTTCCCGTCTCGGACCTGCTCCGGCTATCATCTTCCAGACGTGCAACCACCGACTCCAAGCAGATTTGAGCAGAACAAATCCACCAGGTAGCACAACTTATTGACGCATTTTCACCCGCCCTCAACCAAGAGCCGCGGAGAATATCGCTACAGCTGTCACCGCCGAGAGGGGAACAGAATATCAAATCTCGAAAATCACACTCCGGGAAGAAAGAGAAAAAAAAAAGGGCCCACCGATCAAGCTCACAGCATCCCCCGTCTTCTCCCCTTCTCCCTCCCGGAATCTCCATCGTGTGCCTCACCGGATCCAGGTCTGCTCCTGAGAATCGTCCCATCGCCCTGCGCCTGCGCCATGATCTAAGAGGCGCCGCGCACCCGTTGCTTAGCCGCTTTCCTGCTCATGCACAATGCTGCTTTGGCCTACAACTCGGACCCAATCGACTCGGCGTCGACTTGATCGAAAGCTGCCCCGCTAGCATTTGCGGCGGCCTCCCACCCGTTACACATTCCCCATCGAAGCTATCGCAAGCATCAATATATCGGATCCTGCCGCGGCCAGCAGCACGTGTCTGCGGCGTTGAGAGCAATTAATTCGGCACGTCGGGCCATCACCCATTGCCTGCTCGTGGGCCATCGTCTTCCGTCTCCTGTCCTTGACATCAACGATTGTCTGGACACATCTGCGATCACAATCGCCTCCTATCCCACAAACAAGATACAAGCCTGACCGGCTTCAACCGTCACCATGGCGAACAACAATAATAACAAATTCCGTCCCATGAGTATCGATGCCATGCTCGATATGGAGCGGCAAGAGGTTCTGGCTCTGCTGGAGCGATCTAATGAGGCTCCTGCTCCGTCGGCAAGGGGCGGTCGGTCAGATTCGCCGTATGCAGCGCGTTCTCCAGTCCGGAGCATGCTGGACATTGCCGAAGAGGAGATCCCCCCCGGCAGCACCCCTTCGTCTACCAGCAGAACTACCACTGCCACTCAGGGCCCAGTGAGAAGCATGCTGGATGTTGATGCGCCGCCCTCCCCGCAGCTGGTCCGCAGCATGCTCGATATTAGTGGCCCTGTGCCGGACTCTCCTAGGCGGACGGGTAGAAGCTCAACACCAAGCTCTCCTCTGATGCCCCCCAGTGAGCTCTTCAGACCGCAACAGTCTTCTGGCTTGGCACCGCATCCACGAAGCAGATCTGATGCTAGCATCAAGTTCGCCGAGCCTGCGCGTAGCTCCCGAAACGACCCGATCGCCAACTACCAGTTTTCTAGTATATACTCGCATGGCTCGGGTTCCCAATCCTCAAAGGTGAAATGGTCGTCTTCGAGAAACAGCAAGCGAGAGAGCGGAGGGTCCCTAGGAGATGTCTTGAGAGGCTCTGACGGTGGACTCCAGCTTCCTGCGGATAGAGGCCGATCTCCGTTGGGTGGCTCTCGCCTTTTTAACAACCAGTCCAAGTCGCCCCAGACTCCAAATCGTCGTTGGGGAAGTAGGTCTCGATCACCGGCGACCTTTTCCACACCACAGCTGCCCCCTGGCAAGGCTCTTTTGAACGATGGCCAGGTTGTTAACCTCAATAATGCCTATCGGAAATTGTCAGACGCGAATCTCATTCAGTCTAGCGGAAGCTTGGCGCAACTGGCTATGCGGAAAAAGTCTGGGGAAGCTGGGGAGGGCAGGCTGGTCAAAGACTATGTTGGGCCGGATGGCGAGCAGCTTGGCTCGAGTGACGAAGAAGAAGAGGAGTCATCCGAAGATGAGGATAGAGGACGCAAGAAGTCTCCTCGATCACTGATACACGATGCCGAGCCAGACAACAAACAGCCCGCCACCGGCAGCAGCTCGCAATCAGGGGGCCGGCAGGCACTGAGCCTGCTCGCGGCGGCGGAACAAGAACGTAAGCGAACCGAAAGAGGCCTCGTCGAATGCGGGCAGCCAAAATATGACTGACTTTGTAAACAGGATCGCAAGTGGCTTCTCAGCAAGCTCAATACCAGTACCGCTCCCTGTTTGAGGAGCCCGAGATCAAGGTAACAACGGCCACTGGAGACACCACAAAGCCCTCCAAGGCCAACAGGGGCGTTCACCCCGTCACCAGCTACGACCAAGGTCCGGCATCGAGGACGCCATCTGTCATGGACTCGGATGAGGAAGCCGACATGGACGACATCAAGAGGGCACAAAACCTGTCCTTCAACATGACCAACATCTTGCAAACGCCAGAGGCGCACCGCGCCATTCGCATCATCTACCGCGGAGATTACACTAGAATGGTTCAGGCCGCCGAAGAAGAAAACCACAGGCTGAGGAAATACCTGGTAGCCACCGACCTTAGCGACGAATCAACGCATGCCCTCGAGTGGGCGATTGGTACAGTCCTCCGAGATGGCGATACCTTGGTAGCGATCTACTGCATCGACGAGGAGACGGGCATCGTCACGGGAGAGGGTTCTCTGGTGCCAGACGAGTCAAAGGCGATGAAGGAGCAGGCAGCGGCCATCAACCTGATGGCCAACACAAAGCTCGTGCCGGCGCAGGTGAACTTGGTCTCCGAGTTTAAGCGCAGCTCAGGACTTTACCTACGGAGCGATTCCAACGCTGGCACGCCAAGCGGCTCGCCCGCGCCGCTGTACCGGGGTGACCGCTACAAAGCCGAGCAGGAGCGTAGTCGCGCCGTGCAGGAGATTACAGACAAGGTGCTCCGTCTCCTGAGGAAGACTCGGCTCCAAGTCAGGGTGATTGTAGAAGTCCTGCACTGCAAGACCCCCCGGCATCTCGTGACCGAGGTGATTGACCTTGTCAATCCCACTCTGGTTGTGATTGGGAGCCGGGGCCGGAGCGCGCTCAAGGGGTATGTGTCGTGCTTGAGCTTTATTTCTAGAAGAGGAGGGTTCGCTAACCAAAGACGTAGTGTCATTCTGGGGTCCTTCTCCAACTATCTGGTTACTAAGAGTTCGGTGCCGGTCATGGTTGCACGCAAGAAACTGCGCAAGCAGTCCAAGTACAAGCGAACGCCGGTGAAGCAGGTGAACAACATCAGCAACCCATCGGCCAGAAGCCTGGCCAACGCCAAAGTAGACTAGAGGTCCTCCGAGCTCCAAGGCCCTTGAAGCCCGCCAAGCTTCGTGGATCTTGGCCGTCTAGGGCAAACGCAGAGAAGACTGATATCGCGGCTTTTTTTTCTTTTCTTTTTTTTCCCCCACGCCCCTCCATTCCACACTTCCACACACAGGGGGGAGGGATCTCTGACCGGGGGAGGGAGAGAGTGAGCCAACCACATGTTGAGCGGGTTGACCACGGGGGACAAGCGCACGTTACTATTGTATAAACTGGGTATAGTAGTTCAAGGGACGAACTAGCAGCAGCGGAGCCAAGGCGCGAGACGGCGTTGACTTTTTTTTCCCTTTTTTGTTTCTTTTTTTTATCAAGTATCCTTCTTGCTCATTTTAGTCTCTCCTTGGAGACTTCAGTTTGCTTTTTTTCTTATCAGGGTGTGATGCGTTATGAGTCTGGGTGTGCTGCTTCAAGGGCAAATCGGGTAGGAGTTGAACCAAACAGGCCATGATAAAACCACAAATGGAAACATAGCGTCGATTTCTTTTTCTAGCCGCTCATCTGATACACTCACTAAACTAATGCAACTGCGTCATATAGCATGCACGTGCTGAACCCTTGATGAGCCATATCAGCAAGTGCCGTATTACCTGCCCGTAGACATTTTGGTGAGCGTGGACTTTGTACGGTGAGCGATGACTTCTCATGTGACTGCGTTTAGCTCGAGGGTTTGTGGGGCGAAGCAGGAGAGTCTTTTTTGGTAATGGTTGATGCACGGAATGCTACTGTAAGGTATCTGCTAAGGTATGGAGTACCTGCTTGGTAGATCGATGGAGCATTCTCGTGGAATGTACAGCGTACCTAGTCTCTACAAAGCAAAGCCGACGGTGCTACGATTCAGTGTCAGTTGCATTTACCAAGCTGCTAAGTTGCAAAGGCATCTGGGCTTGTTGGACTTGCAAGGATGGGGAGGATTCAAAGGGTCCGCACCTTGGGACGATCCGCGGGTGACGAGGATCGACTGCGAGTGTGGCATGGATGTCTCTCTTTTTTTTTCCTTTTTTCTTTTTCTGCGGGTGCCTCCGGTCTAGAAAGCTCAGATTTGGCGGTGCCATGTACTAAGCAAGTCTGGTTTAGTTTCCCTTGATCTGGCTTCGCTTCTCCCTTTTTTTGTCTCGCCTCAGTTGAGGAAAAGCAAGCGAGGGAAAAAGCAAAGAATGGACGGATCAGCTCAAGGGAGGGGGTGGTGTGGCATATCCCACGAGATGCTATAGCTTGGCTTGTTCGACAAAAAAAAAACAATGGGGCGATGCCAAACTGACTGGCAAAGTGCGTGCATGGTACTTGTACTCGTACATGTCGATTAGCATCGATTAGCACCAAGAGAGACGGAGAAAGTAGGCCGAAGAGATGCTACAGGACAAGCTTCGTGATGGAGGGGTGGCGAAGCTGGTGGGAGAGGGAGAAAGAAGAAGAAAAGCCCACTAATTGCGGGGTGATAAGAGATAACGGGAGCAGCCTAGTGGCTGGAAAAGGGCCAGAGGGCGGGAAGACGACGGACGGGAGCGAGCAATAGCATTTGATTGAAGCAGCAAAGTATCCGTACCATGGGCAGACAAGACCAAACCGCCACCAGCCATGTGTCTGTTTTGCTGTTTTGATGCGATGCTGCAGGTAAGCTATGGCTGCATTTGACGAATGAGCGGATTGCGCGCTCTCACGCTATCCGGCTCTTTCTGTGGACACGGCACATACGAGTACCTAGAGCAGAGCAGTCCTGCAGCCCACAATGGTGGCATCCTGACTGGCCCTGCCCGTTCTGTGGCGGATTGACAGCAAGGACGGGCAGACACCAGGTGGGGGGTTCGAGCCGGAGGGGACCATGGACCATGAATGAGATGGCGGAGGAGGGGAGGGAGGACAAGGGAAAGCAAGACACTGACTGCTGGGTCCCCCCCAGGTAGCGAGCAGAGCAGAACAGAGCCGAGCAGAGGGACAAGAACAAGAGCAGGGACTCAACCAAGGGGGGAGGGGTGGCCTGTTCAAGATGGTCTGAAACGGCGGACGGAGATGTGAGCAGCACGCCTGATTGGCCGCGCCGGCTGGGTCAGTGTCGTGCCACGAGGGCGGCCCAGCCTCTCACGATTGCTGCCACCCCAACACGGTCAGCCATTGCGCGAAGGGGAGTGGCCGCTGCCGGGGCTGGCGCCAATCTTCCAGTCACGACTGCAGGGCTGGGGCTTGTCGAGTGCCCCAGCGTTGGGAGAAGAAGCTCAAAAGTTGGGTACGAAGGAGAGGGGGGGAGGCTTCTTGCAAGAGACAGAGAGCAGGAAAGACACGATTGTTCGGAAACAAGTCCAAAACAAAAAGACAGAACCGAGCAAGAGGGGAAAATAAAGAAGAATAGCCGACGCTGACGCCGTTGGAAAAGAAGACGCCGAAGAGGGGGGAAAAAAACACAAGGACAAGCCAACGATTTCATCGCCCGCCTGCCGCTCTCCCGCACCATCGATCGCTGCCCACTGCCAGTGCCAGGGTTGTTCGGGTTTCCTGACGTCTTCCCTCTTTCTCTTCTCCGGTCTCTTCTCCTTGCAGGCCACTGCGGAATCGACCGAGCGGGACTATCTATTTAGCTCGTCGACCTTGGGAAGAAAGCCTGCCTGGGTCGAGTCGAGTCGAGCCTTTTCCCCAACCTACCTTGCCTTGCCTGTCATTCCATCCACGCCTGTCCTACTTGACCTAGTACCGAGTACATTCGCACATACTCCATCCAGACAGACACACGGCGTACACCTACCGCACTGCCGGGGTCTGGACAACGCGAAAGAGTTGCAAGGCCAGGCCAAGCCCACGGCCGACTACCGACCGGACACACCTTTCTTTAGTCCCATCCCGCTGGGCCTTGTCCGCCCTCAGACTCTCCCATGTATTCGCTTTTGACGGTGAATCAGCAGGTCTCCCTGATCAGCGTCACTGTCACTCCCAGCACCTTTCTGGCTGCGCTGCTTGTTCTTCTCGTCTTCGTCAGCTTCTACCTTCCACAGCTGCCATCGCTCAACCTGCCACGAATCACCCTGCCGCGCTTCTTAACCGCCGCAAACGACGACAACGCATTGCCACCGTCGCCTACCTCGCCCTCCCGACAGCTTGTACTGCGCGACCAGTCGCTGACCATCTACCGCCGCGACAGGAAGGAATCATCATCATCCTCCTCCTCCTCCTCATCGTTCAAAGACCGCTTCAGAAAGGAACCCAAGGACCACTACAAGGAGAGGGACTACTACGCCAAAGAGAGCGACCATGGCCGATCCCCAAGAAAGGCTCGACGCCTCATTACGGGATTTCGAGACTCCGGCAAGCCCGCTGTCTACGACGAGGAACTCGTCCGTTCTCCCCCCCAGCGAGGCGGCGATAGAGGACGATCTCCTAGCGGACCTGGACGTCGCGTCCGCCGGTTCCTATTCTCCTCCAGCGTGGCGGAGGCTCGCCAACGGTAGTCGAAGCAACGGTTTCTGGCGGCCGCCGTCGCATGATGCGCTCGGCGCAATGGCCCCGATGCGCCTGGCCATGCGCAACACCCCGTTCAGCGAGCGCGACGACGACGACGATGACGACGACGACTTGGACCACGACCTGGACAACCAGAACGATATTCTGCAGAGGGCGATCCGCACGAGGCTTCCCACCGGCAGCATGAGCCCGGACAAGGTGAGGAGCCGGAGTCCAGAGGGACACAGGAGCGGCACATTGCGACTCGAGGCACCGACCCCGCCCGTTCTCGAGAGGATACTGGAGTCGCCGCCGCCGACGGATAACTGTAAGTTGCGCCGCGCATTTTCCTTGCCCGCTGCTGCTGCTGCTGCTGCTGCCGCTGCTGCCTGCTCTGCCTGGCGCGGCCCATCTGCATCTGCGTGTCTTCGTCTTGGTATCATCAGACTTAGACTTGGCGCCTGACTGTCTTGTCTTTTTTATGGTAGACATCCGCTTCGCCGTGCGCGCTGAAGTCCAGCAGCGAACCGAACCAATTGAAACAGCCATTGCCTTTATCCGCAAACGCTACGCCGCTCTCACCGCGTCATGGACGTCTACCCTCTTCAGCCTGCTCCTCGCCGTCTGCAGCATCACAATGTTCAAGACGCTCATCCAGGAGCCCGCACCGCGGCCCGTCGGCGATCTCGTAAAGGTCGCTGGCATCGCGCGCTCCTTTGAGCCGCTCATTTACTATTCGGAGCATGCCATTACGCAGGTGCACGACCTGCAGGCCACCAGCGTTGCTGTCTGGGACCTCGGGGAGACGGTACGGACCAGCGGAATGAAGGATGCGTCGCTCATCGTTTCCGACCTCGACGCTCTCAGCGGCGCAATGAAGACGCTTGCGACCGAGATGACCAAGTTCTTCGCTGTTGTCGATGGCGACATTGACGGGTAAGTCAATGGATAGCAATCCCTTCCCCCCTCTCCCTCTTATTCGTATCGTCTCATCTTTCTTTCTTTCATCCTTCCCCCGTCTCCCAATTGAGTCTTTCTTCCCTTCCCCTTTACCTCCCTCGTGTGACCCCCTGGTGTGTCGAGAGAAGCAAACAGCAAAGGTTGACATGGGCGTTTGCGCCTCGTTGTACAACAGCATCCTCAATGTCATGGATTGGGCCAAGATGCATCTCAATCGCCTCCAGAGCGCTCCTTCTCCCTCCACCCTCTCCTCCGCTTACGATAACATCCACAATATGCTTTCTGAGGCTCACGTCCTCGAGGACGCCTCCGGTGCTCCCACGCCGATCGGCACGATTACTACGTACGTCTTTGGACTAAGCAACCCGCAGCGCGAGCAACGAATGGTCCAGCTACTGTTCAACGAATTCTTGTCGGTTCTCGAGGAGAGCGTTCGGGAGGAGCTTCGCTATAGCATGAATCTCTACGGTCTCTTCAACAGCATCGACCAGCACTTTCTCAACCTGGCGCGAACCGTCGCGCGCGAGACTTCGGCCCAGGAGGAGCTTCACAGCGACATGCTGGCCAGCTTGTGGGTGCGCATCCTGGGCACGCGCGCCGCCGAGCTGCGCAAGTTTGAGCAGAACCGCGTGCTCCTGCGCGACGTGAGGGAAAAGACTGTCCGCAACAAGGGCATCCTGGTCAACCATCACAGCAAGCTCCTGTCGCTGCAGACTTCGCTCGAGGGGCTCCGCACCAAGCTCATCTCGCCGCTCGTCCGCGGCACCAATGCCACCATCCTGACTCTCGAAGACCAGATCGACAGCTTGTCCGGCGTGAGGGATCATCTCTCGGAGATTCGGCGCCAGCAAAAGGGAAAGGTCCTGGAGACGCTGTACGCCAGCGTGCCGAGCAAGCAGCAGCCGAGAAGTCTACGACTTGACGATGGCCGGGGCGACATCCTCAGAGATTCATAATCCTCCCTCCCCTTGTTTTGTTTGTTTTGTTTTCTTGTCTTTTTTCCAAAGGCGTCGAATCAATCATTCTGTTCTGGGGGAGGGGATATACAAAAACATCCTTGCTATATTTATCCTTTATTTTTGTACTACTTCCATGTCAGGCACAACAGCATGGCCTCATCGCCAACAGCGCGTGTGTTTCTTTGGTCAGCGACACACTCTAGCGGAGTTCTTGTTCTTTCTTCTTATTTTTAATTACATCTGTTGTTTTTTCTTGTATCGGTTTCAAGGCAAACCAAAGGCATGGCTAGGGCAAAGGACCAAAGGGCAAAGGAGGTGGAGTGGCAAAGCAAGGAAACCACCATTTTTATCGGCGCTGCAACGGGGAACGGTAAGTATATACTATCATTTCGAATTGTTTTTTTTTTCTCCTATTTCTTTCTTTTTGATTCTGGTAGTCTTTCATTTTCAGTTTCATTTTCAAGGGGGGGAAGGTGGCAGGGAAATAAGGGAGCGCACATTTAGGTGAAAAGCCGGAACACTCAAAAAAGTTTTTCACATAGATGTTCTTTTCTTCTTCATTCCTTTTTTTCTCTTCTTCTTCTTTTCTTTCTTCTTCTTCTCTCCTTGCTCCTTTTTCTTGCTTTACATCTCGGCGTGGAATAGTTTGGCGTCTTTTCTCTTTTTTTTCTGTGAGTTTTCCCTCTGGCAAGCGAAATCCTTTCCTCTCCTTTTTTTTTCCTCTCGAAAAACTCTCCTTATCTCCTGTTCTCACATATTGTAGCATTCTCAAATGTACTCAGCATGTGTGGTATTTTGTGTTGTTTCCAAGTCATCGGTCAAAGGGGTGTCTTTGTCCTTGTCTTTTTGTGTGTGTGTGTGTTTTCAGGAAAGGGCGTTTTTTTTTTTTCATCCTTCTCCTTTTTTTCATTTTTTTAACAACTCGGTGCCAAGGTTCGCCTTTTCTTAGATGAAAACGTGAAACAGCCTTGGTTGGGGCGCTGGGCTTTGGTTGGGTATGTAACCAGTAGTTCTACCTCCTAGGTTTGGCAGTGTCAATTGAAAGCAATTTCGTATCCTTTACTACATCTCGTCTATGCAGCAACTCTCTTCTTATCTAAAGAATGCGTACGTACGTACAGTCTAGTTGTAACAAGTCATTGGGTATCTAGATGAAAAGGGGGCGCTCAAGGCACAACTTCACAACTCCACACTTGACTATTCACAGTTTGCAATTCACATTCATCAGAAAGCACACACAAATTGTTTAAGAACATGTTATCTATTAGAAAATTCCTAGAATCCTATCCGTTTCAGCCCCTGCCTCCGTTATGTTTGCCAGTGAGAGTGGACCATGTTCATGGGGGTATAGCCCAGAGGCAGCCTTCATAAAACCCGCAACGCCATCCCGGTGAGCCTGATTTTTGTGCCGGCGACGTTTTTCGTCCCGGCCAGGGCAAGGCGGCTTTCCCGCATCCGAAAATACCACCTTCCAAACCACACAACTTTTGTTCATCCTTGAGAAAAAAAATATAGCAAATAAGTCTATCCTTACATGATGCAATAGACTGGGCAACCGTGGCTATCATATTGCATCCCACGTAATCATTCGGTGACTCTTGAGTCCATCTCGCACCGTAGTCAAATTTTTAAACGACAAAGGAAACGATGTTGCGTGTCAAAGGCGGCAAGACCGGCTCTACCTAAGCCTTGGTCTCCTCCTCCTTCTTCTCGGTACCAGTAGCCTGGGACTTGACGTATTCGTCGTAGACGGCCAGCGCCTCGTCAACCTTGGCCTTTAGGGCAGCTTCATCCTCAATGCTAAGATGGAAAGGTCAGTATTACAAATTTGTCTCCAAGGGAAAAAAAGGGGGGTAGAAGCTTACAGGTTGACAAGCTCAGAGTTGTCCATCTCCAAGAGCATACCAGTGATCTTGCCAGCAAGTTCAGAGTTGATGGCCTGAATCTTGGGGAAGATCAATTCTCCAAGAATCTGCTTCTGCTGGGCAGGCTGGGCCGCAGCAAGCTGAGACTGGAGCAGAGAGGAAGTGTTGTTGTCGCGAGCAGGCTGGTTAGGGAAGTTGCCGTTGCGACCAGCGTTGTTGTTACCTCCGTTGTTGTTGCGGCCCATGTTCTGGCGGTTGTTGGGGGGGTAGCCAGGCATTCCACCCTGGACATTGGGAGGCATGCCGGCGATGTTACCACGACCACCCTGAGGAGCGCCACCACGGCCTCCAGCAAGAGCGGCAGCCTGCTGCTGAGCCTGCTGCATGGCGGCCATGAACTGGGGGGTTCCAGGCTGTCCAAACTGAGGAGGGAACTGGCCGGGGATGCCGTACATGTTGGGGGGGATTCCCTGGGGAACGTTGCGGCCACCCTGCTGGGGGTATCCGGGGAACTGGCCAGGGCGACCTCCCTGAACGTTGGGAAGAGGCATTCCGGGCTGGGGGAAAGGCATGCCACGACCGCCCTGGGGGATGAAGCCTGGCTGCTGGCCAGGAGCATAGAAAACGGGGGGCTGCATGTACTGCTGCGGCATACCAGCTGCCGCCGCGGCCTGCTGCATCCGCAGTTGGTTGCGAGCCTGGATACTAGCCTCAAGCTGGCTCTTGCGGACGTCCTTGCGCTGGGCGAGGGCAACGTACAGAGGCTTGCTGTTGATCATCCTCTGGTTCATCTCGGCAACAGCCTTGGTGGCATCGTCGGGGTTGCTAAAGCAGACGAAGCCGAAGCCCTTGCTCTTACCAAGCTTCTTGTCGCCCTTCTTTTCGGCCTTCTTCTCAGCGCTCTCAGCAGACTCGGCCTCGTTCTCGGGCTCCTTCTGGTTCTCCTTGTCCTTCTCCTGGTCCTTGACCTCCTCGTCGCCCTCCTGAGGGGTGTCCCTCATGACCTTGGCAGAGGTGATGGGACCAAACTCGGCGAACATCTGTCGGAGCTTCTCATCGTCAACATCGTCATCAAGGTTCTTGATGTACAGGTTGACGCCCTGGTACTTGTTGGCCTTCTCGAGGCGCGCGGCCTCATAAGACTTTCGCAGCTCCTCTTCACGCTCATGCTTCTTCTGGGCGCGGCCAACATAGAGCTCCTGGCCGCGGAAGTCCTTGCCGTTGAGATCATCAACAGCCTTGTAGGCAGCCTCGTGGGTGGTGAAGTTGACGAAACCGAAACCGCGAGGCTTGCCCTCCTGGTCGCGGGCCAGAGAAGATGAGGTAACGTCGCCAAACTTCTCAAACAGCTCACGGAACTCGTCATCGGTGACATCAGGTCCAATGTTCTTCACGTAAACGTTGGTGAAGTTGGCCTTCATCTCCTCGAACTTGCTCTGGCGGTCCTTCTTGGGGATGTGGTAGCCGACGTAGACCTTCTTCTCGTTGAGCAGCATGCCGTTGACATGCTTGATGGCCTGAGCAGCAGCCTCGTCGGTCTCGTAGTGAACGAATCCGTAACCCTTGGAGTTTCCGTTCTCATCCTGGGCGACCTTGCAGCTGAGAATGTTGCCAAAGGCAGCAAAGGTGTCGTGGAGAGCCTTGTTATCAATAGCAACGTCCAAGTTCTTGATGAACACGTTGCCCTGGCCGGTCTTGCGCAGAGCGGGATCACGCTGGGACCACATGATACGGCAAGGGCGGCCCTTGATGAGAGTGTAGTTGAGCTCCTCCAGAGCCTTCTCGCCATCGGGGGTGGAGTTGTAGTTCACATAGGCGTAGCCAAGAGAGCGGCGGGTGACAGCGTCACGGCAGACACGGATGGAAGCCACGGCACCAATCTGAGAGAAGAGCTCAAAGAGCATGGCCTCGGTGACGGAGGGGTCAAGCTCTCCGACGTAGAGAGAGGCCGAGTTCTGGGGGTGAGGAGCGGTGGTGGGGGTAGGAGCAGAAGCATCCTCAGCACCAGCGCTGACGGTAGTGTCGACGGCAGGAGCCTTGACATCGCCGCTGCCATTGAGAGATGTGTTGTTGAGATCGCTGGCGAGCTGGTCAACAGCGTTCGAGGTGGTGTTGGCGGCCATGGCGTCGGTTGACTAAATCACGGGTATCAAACAAGGCTGCAGAGAGACAGGGTCAGCGGCTGAACGGAGGAGGAAGAGAGCAACGTGGTTCGCCGGCAGAACTCTGCCAGCAGAACTCTGCCAGCAGAATACCCGGCAATCAGTATAGACTTACTGATTGAGAAAGAGAATGAGAAAGAAGAGTGCTCGGCGAGTCAGAGTAGACAATCTGCAAGCTGAGCGACTGGAAGATAGAGGCAACTGGGGTGAGTTGTCTCAAAGGATAGGATTTGTTTTGGTTTTTTTGTTTTGTTTTCTGCGGTGACTGGTCGTCGACGTCGCGGGGGGGGCTTGAAAGTGGCGGGTAGGGTTTTTTGGATTTTTCAAATTTTTTTGGTTTTCTTGATTGAAAAGAAAAGAGCAAGAACAGAGAACTAGGTCGAAGACCGTACCTCTGAACTAACCTGCCTTTTATGGGTTTTGTGGTGTTTGGGATAAAGTTGGGCGTTGTGTGGAAGAAGAGGAAAAAAAAGAGATTTTTCAACCACTTGACATTTTTTTTTTCGCTGGGCTGCTAAACCTGTCTAGCGGTGGAGTGACCTTCCGTGCCTCCTTAGCGGCGAGTTGTGACTTCCTACCAGATTTATTAGGGTATCACAGTTCCGGCACAGTGCAGGACACTGCCGGAGCTGGCACTAAAGACGCCTAAGAATGAGCCAAAAGGTACCAGCTGCCGTGCATGGCAAAGTAGCCGATAACAGAGTTTCTTTGTGCTCTGCGGATCTCTTTGTTAGAGGGAAACCGCCAACCCCGCCTCAGCCAAGTCTCGAGGCTAACAATCGGCCTATCTGGAAGAGGGTGTGCTGCAAAGTCTGCTCTTTGAAAATTCTGAGGCGGTGGCAGAAAGAAGCCTGTTCTCGTGCTCATGCCTTTTGTCTCTGCTAGTTGCAGCCACAAGTAGCCACCGAGAAGTGAAAGAACTGGGACGAGCTGGAATTTGCCTTTTGTTTGTTGCTGCTTGCTCGCTTTGTTTTTGCTCCCCACGAAACAAGGGTAACAGTGGCCTCCCATCCGCCTTCACACTGTGTTGGTGGGATGTCAAAGGCGGTGACCCTGATTGCGGAACTCGTCTTATCTTATCAGCACGCGACACTAGCCCGCCGATGCTGCCCCACCAGCGATGATGCTATGCTATGGGCAGCCTGCCGCAGACGTATCCAGGTTGATGACTGATGAAAGCTTCAGGGCTGAATCTTCTAGAATCGCCACAGCAACCGCAAACCCACGGAAGCATCATCATACAAGGCGTCTGTGTGGCATCTATATCCGCGCTCACTTAATGTCTGCGTGTAGCTACTAGCAAAGTTCAAGCCGCCGCCATGTTCTCAACCTTCACAGGCAACTCGAGGCGGCCGAGGAACGTGAACCTAAGCGGACAAGCCAGCAACCCGTTCTCCAACACATCATGGACGCCCTCGGCCGTTTCGAACGCTACAAAGACCGTCTCGGACGCCCAGGCCGACCGAGAAAAGCGACAGGCCGAGAGGCGACGTCTGAAGGCGGCATCGCAGATACAGAGAACATGGCGAGGATATAGGTCGCGGTCTACTTTGAGGGACCAGCACAGGCATGACTTTGATCTCATCTATCAGTCTCTACCAGATAGCGATGCTTCCCAGAGGCTATATGCTTCTTTCCCTCTCCTATTGTCCTTCTTCTCGTCCAACCGAGCCGGCGACATGCAACGTCTATTTTTATTCATCAAGGACTGTAATAGTATTTCCCTGCAGCAGTTCAGCGACGCCAGCCGTCATCCTTCACGCCTTCAAAAGTTAATGGTAAAGCTTGTGCAAGCCTTGGGTGTTTTAGTTTCCAAAGGGTATGTTTATAATTGCCCATCCGAGAGACGTACAAGCTGTTACAAGCTTGCAATACATCACAGATATGCTAACCTAGCTTGCTTAGAAATACGTCGTTGGAATTGCAATATCTCCTACTCCTGATCGACCACCTGGCCACCAACTTCCCCTTCACGATCCTTGAATCGCTTGACGAATACTATACGGCGTTGGCCAAGTTTTGCCAAACAAGGCACGACCAAGAATGGGTGGATATAGTAGTCAGATCTCTCTCGGCTCCATTGGAGGCAAGCTCGGGAAACAGTATGTTGTCCTATTATAGCTTCAGTTTTCTCATGTATAACGTGACACCGGTTGCTAACCCTTCTGTAAACAGGTCCGAATGCATATAGGGCGTTGGCGCTTCGATTTCTAACAACTCAAGATATCCATCTCTTTGAGGAAAACATTGACCAGATGGTCCAAAGCATCAACACGGAGAAGCTCGCAATGGAGATACAGGGTTCGTACAACTATAAATCCGATGCTTTGCCCGAAAAGGATCGCCTGTTCTGGCTCTTGGCTCATTATATTGATTTGAGCCGAGCTCAAAAGAGCTCGACGCAAAACCTGGTTCATCTGAAGGTCATTTTTACACAGCTATCCGCTTTATCATCCGATATCAGTATTCGGATAAACCCTGAAGCCCTGGCTGCTGGGCCTCTTGTGTTCCCCTCCTCATCTTACATATCCCGCCAACTATTGTGGCTCGTTGACAATAAAGGCATTTTCAATCTGCTACATGACTTCTCCATCAGCCTGGCACAGTCTACAACCCAAGAACTCGAAGGAAGTGAGCTCCTTGCTGGTTATATCCTAGCTTTGCTTCAAAGTTTCCCCAGCAGAGCAGACGATACGCGCATGAGGCTGTTTCTCGAGGAGATACCTGCTGCAGAGGGACAGGTCCCCATTGTCAAATACCTCTGGCAGATGATGACCAAGACCTCGGTGTTCCAAAAGCTAAGGACAGAGTCTGAGCGGCCAGCGAAAATACTCCACAGGTACTTTTACGGCAATTCATCTCAGCCCTCGTCGCATACAGAAGAGCAAGAGTGGAGAATCATTCTATTATTCCTAGAGCTTTACACTTTTATCCTCAGGATCAGCGATGACGAAGACTTTTTAAGCGGCATTTATCCCAAAGTTATAAGTAGCGATGTACCGAGGTCACGCACTCGATCATGCAGCTTGGCGTTGAAAGACGTTGAGGCGCTCATCACTTTCCTCAAGAATACTGCATTTGCTCTGCATTATAGTGTTCAAGAGATCACTCAGACTCAAGCAGCTCTCGAGGCGTCAACAAAGTCCCGGCTGGACTCATATTGGGGGGACTCGTCAAGGAACGCAGAGGAGCCTAGGGGCTCCAGCAAAAGTCCAGCCTCGGACGTCTCCACCAAGCTCGATCTAGAGAGCCTTCGCGCCATCATTACGATATCGTTGAAAATGCTATACGAGAGAGACTCGAGGAAACATTTTCTGTCGGCAGATCACTGGCTTATGACGAGCAAACTGGAGAAGGAAGACTTCATTGGGGCCGTCATAGCAGAAGAAGAGAGGCAGATCCAAGAACAGGCTGATGATAGTGACATGGAGGCGGATGATGGTCAAGAGCCTTCATTTGATGATGGTTACGGACTGCATTCGACTTTTGCCGCGCAACGGCTTTCTCGTAATGTCAGACTGGAGAGGATCAAGGCTAACCAGATGCGCGCCCAAAGGGAACGAAGACTCGCCGAGATGGGGCCTAAATTGGAGGTCTTAAAGCACATCCCATTTGTTGTTCCGTTTGAGACGCGAGTAATGATATTTCGGCAATTCGTCAACCTCGACAGAATCCGCAGAGGCGGGAATCATGTGATGTTGATGGCTCCTGTGGGAAGGCATCACGCAAAAATCCGTCGTGGCCAGCTGTTTGAGGATGCGTTTGAGCAGTTTTACCAGCTAGGGGAAGGTCTCAAGGACCCCATTCAGATAACCTTTGTCGATCAATTCGATACGCCCGAGGCCGGTATCGATGGTGGTGGTGTTACCAAGGAATTTCTAACGAGCGTTACGTCAGAAGCCTTTGGAAACGGGGCTGGGGGGCTGGGAATGTTCACATCCAGTGGTAAAGAGCTACTATATCCTAATCCCACAGCTATGGATGTACTTCGCGAATCACTGCGAAAGCAAGGGTTTTCAGAGTCCGATCCTGAGTGGAGGGAGGCGGTGTCTGGTCTGCTCAGACGATATGAATTTCTCGGCCGCATTGTGGGAAAATGCATGTATGAAGGCATTCTCGTCGATCTGGCGTTTGCTGGGTTTTTCCTCTTAAAATGGCCGTCACCCAGTCGAAAAGAAGAGAACAGTTACAAGGGCAGTGTAAACGATCTTCAAGACATGGACGAAGAGCTATATAGGGGCCTCCTTCACCTCAAAAATTATGCCGGGGATGTTTCAGCCCTGGGGCTTGACTTTACGATAACGGACCAGATCTCGGCACCGGGCGATCCTGTTGAGATTGTGACAAGGAAGTTGGTGCCTGGTGGTGACGAGATGGTGGTTACCAACGACAATCGCCTACTATACATATCATACGCAGCTCGCCACCGCCTAGTTGTACAGCCGGCTCCCCAGACGACTGCGTTTCTGCGCGGACTTCGCGAGATTATCCGGCCGTCGTGGTTGTCGATGTTCAACCAGTCGGAGCTGCAGCGCCTAGTAGGCGGCGACTCGTTGGCAATTGACGTTGACAACCTACGCCGAAACACAGTCTACAGCGGCCTTTATACCATAGGCGATGACGGGGAGGAACACCCCACGATCAAGATGTTCTGGAACGTTATGAACGGCTTCACAGACGCTCAGAGGCGCGATGTTCTCAAGTACGTCACGTCGACTCCAAGAGCACCGCTGCTTGGCTTTGCACAGCTGAATCCAAAGTTTGCCATCCGAGATGGAAGCTCGGACCAGGAACGATTACCAAGCGCCAGTACGTGTGTTAATTTGTTGAAACTGCCGATTTACAAGTCGGAGTCGACTTTACGAAAGAAATTGCTCTACGCGATAACGGCGGGGGCCGGGTTTGATTTGAGTTAGACTTTCAAGGCCAGGTTATCTTTTTATTTTCGATAGACGGGAAACAGAGTTGGATTGCAAGGAGTCGGTGCATGGCTTGTATATGACTTACAGTGTTAGAATATGATCACTCTGGATAATGTCGCGTTCTTCCTGTGACTTGCCTTGGACTTTCTTTGTCATGTACGCCTCTTGCTATGACGGGTAGTAAACTTGCAAGACTTGCATAATACCTGGAGATCTTCACACAGCCCTACGCAATTAACTGCAGTCAACCCTAATATCAGTAATATTGCTACGATGCTGACGTATGTCGAACAAAATAAGCATGAATTGTTTATCAGATCTAGGGTGAGATGATGAGATGAACGGATGTGACAGTCAGCATGATGGCCCCATGACGTTATGGGATCGTCTGAATACACTCTGAGTCCCTGTTTTGGATACTTTTAATTATTACGAGATATAATAAATGCGCTAGAAACAAGATAATTAACATCCTTTTCCGTCAAAATGAATGTTTCAAACGTAGTAATGGATGCTGATTGTTTACCGTCACACATATAAGTTTCTTGTAGCGTCGAATTCGGCTTCCAGACTATCTACCCTGTACCTCGGGAATCAATACCCGGGTTTTACTTGGCACCTCAACCTCATAGCTAGGTACGCATATATGATTTCATGGAGAAATAGGTGGATATAGCAGACATCCAATAAACGGATTACATCGCCGGGTAGGCTAGTAATCTCGGCTCAAGGTTTGTTCTGTGTTGAATAGGTTACAGACCGCATCTTGCGGACCGCGGCTAAGACAGGCGGTCCGCCTCATTACGAGCGAGGTACAAGTGGGTTTTGGGATTTGAACCTTGGGAACAGCTCAGAGTTCAGACACGGGTGTTTCAACCTATCACGGGTCATACGTCACATGCCACAATGCCAGCTCACCACGCATCTTGGATTTACAGTACTTTGATAGATCCTACTAATACTATCTGGACTATTGTAATGAGCAGTAAGCATCAATCGTCTTATTCGGGAGCTTGCCGTCCCCGCCAAGGGCCATTCCGATCGGTACGTGGGTACCTCAGGCAGCTTTGGCAAAGCTGCAGGATATAAGACTAGCCCGCACAGCTTTAAACGTTGCAATGTCGCCGATATCGACGCCGGCTATGGTGTGAGGTGGGCTTGTTTTGTGAGAATTTTTGCCCTTGTTTCCACCAAGAGAGCATGGCATCTGCGGCATCGGCCAGCATCATGATGGGAACATACTTCAAAGCGTAGACATACTGTAATAAACAACCTGATTGTTATCATACATTAAAACAACTTTCTGGGGCCGGTTACTACAGGCTTGTGACAGCAGCGAAACTCTGGCGCCAAAAGTACCCGAGAGTTACTTCATAAGCCGAGCTTAGCCACCAACTCGCGGCCCGGGATCCCATTACCCCAAGTACCGCCCAGGTACAGGGCCCCTTCGGCTGCAATCGGCTATATGAGTCCGGGTATCAGGTCGGACCTTGGTAGCCAATCGTTGGGCAGATAATAGTAACTCGGCGCCGGTCCTTGACGTCGATGATCGCAGCTTTTCTTCCCCGGGCAGCTTTCTTCCCTCTTCGCCCAATTGCTTTGCCTTTTGAAATTGGAGCCGCGAGGAATTCTAAAGCCCAGTGCAGTCAGTTCACCACAATGCCGGCTCCAGCGCCTGTGTCGAGATGCGCCCTGCGCACCACCGCCCGCGCGATTCCCAGATGTCGGCCAGCGAGGTTCCTCGGGCCTGCGGCAGCCGCTCGACGAGCTCCCGTCGTGATGCGGCCGTCAATAGGCATGCCAATTGCGGCCGCCAGATCCTTCAGCACCGCCATGCGACTGCGGAGGGCGGCCGAAGACGAATCCTTCGACCCCTCGACCATTGAGCGCGAGTCGGACCAGGTCGACGTCTGCATCATCGGCGCCGGTCCCGCGGGGCTCAGCGCCGCCATCCGGCTGAAGCAGCTGGCCAACGAGGCGGGCAACGAGGACTTCCGGGTGCTGGTGCTGGAAAAGGCCGGCGAGGTGGGCGCCCACATCCTCTCCGGCGCCGTCATCCAGCCCTCGGCCATCAACGAGCTGATCCCCGACTGGCTCGACAAGGCCAACCCATCGCGGTTCGAGCATGCGACCCCGGCCGGCAAGGACAAGATGCGCTTCCTCACCAAGACGGCCGCGATCCCGATCCCCGCGCCGCCCCAGATGAACAACCACGGAAACTACATTGTCAGCTTGAACCAGTTTGTCAAGTGGCTCGGCGAGCGCGCGGAGGAGGTTGGCGTCGAGCTGTACCCTGGCTTCGCCGCCTCCGAGGTCCTCTACAACACCGATGGATCGGTCAAGGGCGTTGCCACAAACGACCTGGGAATTGGACGAGATGGCAAGCCCAAGGATTCCTTTGAGCGAGGCATGGAGTTCCACGCACGAGTCACAATGTTTGGCGAGGGTTGCCACGGCAGCTTGACCAAGAAGGTGGTTGGCAAATTCGACCTGCGACGAGACAGCCAGCACCAGACCTACGGCTTGGGCGTCAAGGAAGTGTGGGAGATTGACCCTGCCAAGTTCGAAAAGGGCCTCATCGTCCACTCCATGGGCTATCCCCTGCCCAAGGACGTGTATGGCGGCTCCTTCATGTACCACTTTGGCGAGAACCTGGTGAGCTTGGGCTTGGTCGTGTCTCTGGACTACGAGAACCCCTGGCTCTCCCCATACCAGGAGTTCCAGAAGCTGAAGCTGCACCCGCTCTTCAAGGACGTGCTCGAGGGCGGCAAGTGCATCTCTTACGGCGCCCGCGGCCTCGTCGAAGGCGGCTTCCAGAGCATACCCAAGGTTGCCTTCCCCGGCGGCGCGCTGATTGGAGATTCCGCCGGCTTCGTCAACGTGCCCAAGGTCAAGGGCACGCACAACGCCATGAAGTCGGGCATGCTCGCGGCCGAGGCGGCGTGGAACGCCCTCAACGACTCCGGCGAGGGCACCGTCTTCCTCTACGACTACGAGGACGCGCTGCGCAAGTCGTCCATCTGGAAGGAGCTCAAGGAGGTGCGCAACATGCGGCCGTCGTGGCACAACCCGCTCGGCGTCTACGGCGGCGTCGCCTACTCGGGCCTGGAGGCGTACGTCCTCAAGGGCCGCGTCCCGTGGACTTTCAAGCACGGCAAGCCCGACTACGCGTCGACCAAGCCGGCCGATCAGTTCCCCAAGATCGAGTACGAGAAGCCCGACGGCAAGATCACCTTTGACATCCTGACCAGCGTGTCTCGCACGGGCACCAACCACGAGGAGGACCAGCCCGTGCACCTGCAAGTCAAGGACTGGGACGCCCACACGGACACGACGTATCCGACATTCAAGGGCCTGGAGAACCGCTTCTGCCCGGCCGGAGTGTACGAGTACGTCGAGGACGAGTCAAAACCCCACGGCGTGCGGTTCCAGATTAACGCACAAAAGTGAGTCTGCATCCACCCCCCTTTTTGTATCTTCATCTTCTTTTTTGCTTCGAAGTCACTAACAGTGGCGCTTCCAATAACAGCTGCATTCACTGCAAGACGTGCGATATCAAGGCTCCCCACCAGGACATCAACTGGCAAGTTCCGCAGGGAGGAGAAGGGCCCAAGTATTACATGACATGAGAGGCAAGGGGGCGTATTTCACACGATTTTTTTTTTCATTGGGAGGATCTGGCTGATATGATGTATTGATATCAATGTACAATGTATGCATGTCCTGGGAACGGAAAACGCCCAGCAAAAAAAAAGTTTTTTTTTCTTTTTGTTTTTTTATAGGTGCTGGCGGGAGAGGAGTATTAAATGGGGCGGTCGGGCTGAACATTTTCCCCTTTTTGTCGTTTTTTTGTTCGTACATCATAAGAGTCGAGAAATACAGTACGGAGTATATAGGCGGTTATTACGTGTCTCTTAAGCAATCAAATATCAAAAAGCAACAAGAAAGAAACTATAAAGCCTCTCACCGAAAGTTTACACAGATAAAAAGCTAGAGTCCACTTCATCACCGCCTCGGGCCAGCCGCCTTGTTTTTTTTTCCTTCTCTTCTTCCCGCTTGCTTCTTGCATTGGCTCGCAGATGATAGACCAGCCCCAAGTTGAGTAGTGCTGATATGAGAGTGGATGCGGCCGCTGTGGACTTGGACTTTTGCATGTGTCAAACAAACATCGCTCTGCTCCGCATATCGCTAGCGCTCACTGCGGCTGTGTGTGGGTTCAATTCGATTTTTTACAATGGAAGTCTGGGGAACGATTTGGGGGGTCCCCTTGTCTTTCAGCAGGTTTGATATCCATGGGCAGTTATACGTGCAATGGACCATGTTTTTGGTGGTGTCGTTGGGCCTCCCGCATCAAGAATACCTACTGTATTGATAGTATGTATGCTGAGTCAGGGGCTTGCAGGACGGGTCGAGCTACAGAGTACGATGAAAGAAAAAGAAATAAAAAGAAAGGAAAGGAACAGAAAAGAGGTAGCAAGCCACTTGTTTGCTGCATTGTTGTCCCAAAGGGATTGTGTGTGCATTCTTTTGTTGCATTTCAGAGCTGCACAGAGGCCAGAATGCCAAAGGTACCGCTGGCAGTGAAACATGAATTCCTCTTGTTCGTTCCGGTCTGCTGCACCTGTGTCCCAAAGAGGCCCCGACTCGGCTCGACACGGAGCAGGATATACATGTACATGCACAGAGAGAGGTAGCAGCAGTGCTACTTTCGACTATGAGTAACTTCATACAAGCGAGTACGATGCTGGACACGGGAGAGAGCGCAAGGAAGAGAAGAGAAAAAAAAAAGAGGCAGGGAAGAGAGAAGAAGAAGAAGGAAAAAAAAAAAAATCTTTCTCGCTTCCCTAGCTCTCTTAGCATTTCTTCGCCTTTCTTTGTTGCGTGAATTATTGCGTCGTGACGACGACACAGAGAGAAATTGCTTGGACACGCTCAATGCTACACCAACACGGGCCTGGGCAGGCGACAAAGCAAGTTTTTTCTGGATCCAAAGGCGGCCAAAGTGTCCAGTTCTGGCAGCGATGCGGCGCTAGGGACCAAAGTGTAACGTGCTGAGCAGCTGGGGGTCACTGGGTTGGAAAATTGTTAACGGGGTACTTTGGGCCGCGCAGGCATGTAGCAGTGACAACGATCTAAAACTTCCGCGGTTGCGCCGGTGCAACAGGCCTACGGGGGACGGCGCAACCAGACGCTGTCGGGACACGGCCATCAGCTGCAACTCGCTTGCAGTGATGCGCAAGGAAAAAACCAAAAAAAGTGACAAGAGACAGACGATGCAAAATGAGCAAGAGTCGCCAACAGGGCTCCTCATGGGTCTCCTTCTCGTGCATGCGTCGAGAACATTGAAGCCCGCTGTCGCTGTCGCGTCCATTGGGCAGACATCAGACTCATGTTACGGTGACAGAGAGGCGCGTCAAGCGGGCAGCCGAGCTGGTACCCAGTACTTGGCGCCGGAGCCACTCACAAGGCCGCAAACAGCAAGATTGCTGGGTGGATGCGGCTCAAGGCCCATGGTTGGCTCACAGGCAATGACTCACTAACGCCAGGATGCCGCCTTGTGCCATTTTTGCCTCCTCCCAAGCCGGCTTTGCCCACCAGACCAGCGAAAAAAAACTCTGCTGTGTGCGGCCGTACGACGCGACTCGTAATCGCTTCCATCCCAGACCCAGACCCAGACACAGACACAAAGAGAGAGAGAGCACAAATGCCCGCCCTCGTCTGGCTGCCGCCGGACATGAGACGATGCTGAGACGCAGGCTGTTTGTAGCTGTGAGCACATGTCGCTTATCTTGGCCGGCCACGCAACAGGGGCAAAAGGTGCGTGTTTCAAAGCTCGTGTTGTTCCAAGGCAGTAACTTGTTGTGGTGTGGCCGCTGAAAGGACGTGGTTCAGTGGGTGAGGGGGGCGGCGAAGACGCAATTTCAGGGAGTGGTTGGTGGGTAAAGCCCCGAAAAGGGGGGCGAATGGGCGCGACGCGACCAACCCGGGTCCACTGCCAGCCCCGTCCGACTTGCCTGGGGCTGATTGACCGTCGCTCGCCCCAGCAACAGAACTGGCTGGAAACTCGGACACGGAAAACAGAGTCAAGCGAGTTTCCCCGTCACCCCATCGGGACCAGTCCAGTAGTTATTCGCCATCCGAGACGATGTGCGCTGTGTTTTTTTTTGGTCGTGGGAGGGGAGGGCGGCAGTGAGCGGTGCTAGACAGCCAGGCCAGAGAGAAGCCAGAGCGAGGTTGACGGGGCCGAGACGGTTCGCTTTTTTTCATCGTACGCTCTCTGTCGCTTCCGCGGGCGGCAGCGAGCATCGCAGTGCAGCTGCACGCATGGTCGAGTGGCGAAGGGGCCTGCGCTGCCCGGCGACTGCATGCAACACACACAAAACACTGTAGTAAAGACGACGACAAAAGACCAGCAAAAGAAGCTGCACGTCGAGATGCAGGCCGAAGGAAGAAGAAAGAGGAAGAAAGAGTGCAAGTGAAATGAAGCAGTGGTCGGGTTGGAAGAAGTGCATTTGCTGGGCCGCAAAAGCCCTGGCACCAGACACCGTGACCGCCAGCTGCGCCCCCCGGTCCTTCCCTTCGTCACCCCCCGTTATCCTGGTGCCACAGCGCTGGTACCGCGAGGTTCTGCATGATACCGCGATACTTCAGGGGGCCTTGTGAGCCGTGGTGGGCAAAGGAGATAAAAGCACGGCGGCGCGGGCCTGTGATTGGCCGCACCGGGGCCTAGTGCACACGCTAAGCTGAGCTCGGGTCTGCCAGAGGCGACGCCACAGGTGGTGTTGTTGCCTGGGAGCCCTGCCTGGGCCTTCCGGAGCGAGAATTATAAGTACCCAGCCCTTCCCCATCCGCTGTTTCCTCGTTCTTGCGAGGAAGTCCCGACCGGCGGCCCTGCGTACCTCTCACATACGTTCGGCCCTCATTAATATTTCCCCCCCTCCAACGACGTCACGCCCCACCTATCCTCAAAGGCTTCGCTTGCCACACTTTTTTTTCCCACTTACTATCCACGCTCTCTTCTTCATCGGACGTCAACGTTCCTTGAACAGCCTCTCCCTTAATTCTAAAAAAAAAAAAGCGTCAGGAAAATCACGAGCAGAATAAGCGAGTCTGCTCCGTTTAGGTCGCACGGTGTCGACGTCCTGCGACCAGGCAATAACAGAGAACTGGAACACGTTCCTTAACGCCGTCGCTCCCTAATCCCACGGGTGCAATCGATCTCGTTGATCGCCGACGAAGACTTCAAAGCGATACAAAGTACTGCCCGTCATCGTCGCCCTTCGAGTCGTTGCCTCGTTCTGTAGAACGCAATTAAAAAAGAAATAACCTCCAAAAAATTGCTTGAACGTGAAGACGAGACGATCCGAGTCTCGGTTGTTGGACCAACGCTTTTCCCCAAGGCCGACCTTCGTTCTCACCTATTCTACCCAACCTTGCTGTTTGCGCCCGGCATTCGCAAGGACTCCAAAAAAATATCTGCTTGAGCAGCATTCTGTAGGGGAGACATTCACTTGTTCATCTCCCGCAATTAGGTAGGTGGCAGCAACCTCTGTGTTGTGTGTTTTTTTCTTCCTCCCGTTCCCTCATTCACTGCACCGCCCTGCTGTGGCAAAACACAACACGTGTCTGCCAGCTGGCGCTGCAGCAGCCACAGCAACAAAACCGCGACTTCGCCTCCCTTCATCCAACTTCCTCTTCATTTCATCTCGCTTTCAGCCTGTGCAGCGCAGAGCTCTGCTTTTCGTGCCAGCCAGCAGCTACATCATCACTTGCTTTTTCTCTCTTTTCCATCTGTTGGGTTGCCTCGATGCACCATTAGCCTTCAGGATATGCAAGCGGCTAACATCATCTCCTGCATAGACCTGCTCAGTTTGGGGTTGCAGCCTCGCCGCACACTTTCTGATCTCTAGTCTCGATCATGGAGGGCATACAAACGCACCCGGCCAATGCCGCGCAGGCAAAGGCTTTTACCGCTCCTGGCTCGCTGTCGTTCCCCGGTGCCTCTAACGAGCTCACACCACCGTCCACCAACCCCGATGGCAGTCAGCGAATGGCTCCCAACGGTCAGCAGGCTGCAAATGGGAACGGGGTGACTCCTGCAACTCCCGCTGCCACGCCTGCAGCCTCTCAGGGTCCCAGTGGCATCACGCCCACTCTGCAGTATGTATACACTTGAGTGAACTTGGTTCTGCTCCTTGAGACTTATCTCGCAATCAAAGGAACATCGTGGCAACCGTGAATCTCGACTGCCGATTGGACTTGAAGACGATTGCCCTGCACGCACGAAACGCCGAGTACAACCCAAAGGTGAATACATGGCGGCCCACCGAGATTCTCGTGGAGGCATAAGGGTGCTAACAGCCTGTAGCGTTTCGCTGCCGTCATCATGCGTATCCGCGAGCCCAAGACAACAGCCCTTATCTTTGCTTCCGGCAAAATGGTCGTTACTGGTGCCAAGTCGGAGGACGATTCTAAGCTGGCCTCGAGAAAATATGCGCGCATCATCCAAAAGCTTGGCTTCAACGCAAAGTTTACGGATTTCAAGATCCAGAACATTGTCGGCTCATGTGATATCAAATTCCCCATCCGTCTCGAAGGTCTTGCCTCTCGCCATCACAACTTCAGCTCCTACGAGCCTGAACTGTTCCCTGGTCTGATTTACCGTATGATCAAGCCCAAGATTGTGCTGCTCATTTTCGTCTCCGGCAAGATTGTCTTGACGGGTGCCAAAGTGAGAGAGGAGATTTACCAAGCTTTTGAAATGATCTACCCTGTGCTTCAAGGTTTGTCTACCCCTGACTGCATTTTTTTAAGAGTGCATTGCTAACGCACATGCTACAGATTTCCGGAAAGTCTAAGTGCATTTTATGGGAATGGTCAGAGATGTTTCATCTCGTGTACCAGTATCGAATTACTACTCCTTTTAAAAACCGACGTATATGACTAGACCATTACGGTCATGATACCACGACTACTTCATAGGACGTCGTTAGCCCCAAGACGTCGGTAGGCCACAACCGGGTGTCTTGTCGGGCTCCGCCTGTACCATTTGATTTCTGCTTGCATTGCATTGGCGTTGGCAAAGGGGGGAAGGCCAGGAAGAGGTTCTATTGCGTTTTTCTTCTTCTTACGATGGATCTGGTTCACGGCAAAAAAAGAACAAAGACTACCCATCCCGCGACACAACATAGATTGCTCGTGGCCGCCTTCAGACTGCTATGCCAGTCTTTCGCGGCCTTTTTAATGCTTTCGAGGGGGAAAAGGTCAAGTTGAAAGTGGATCGAAAGGAATGTTGCTGGTGAAGTGGGAGAGCAGCCAAGATGTAGTGGCTGATTGGTGCTGTGAGTGAGGCAGTTGGCAGCTCCATGGCATGCGGTTGTGGAGCTGGACAAATTATGAGGACATCTTACGCCCTTTGGGGGACAAGATATGATTAGTTTACGCCCTTTTGGTCCTTGTAACAGGGCGTAGCTGTTACAAAAGTCTAGCCATGACTGGTCTTTTGCAGTTAGCATTATCACAAGAATGCTTGATTCTGTCCTCAACCCGTCGTACATCGCCTGATCTCGCCTGCATTTGTGTGTCGATGTGATTCTACGTAGTTCTCTCTCTCCTCACGGCATGCCGCTTTTTGTGGGGGGCGTTTGTGTGTGTGTGTACGCTCCGTAAGCCGATAGTTGCCCGACCATCGGATGGCCCCTCCCGAAATCGACACCCCTCGTTGAAGTTGGAGCTGTACTCCGTAGATCCTTTCAGTAAGGCAGAGAACCGATAGCATGCGGCAGCCGTAAATGACGAATAAATATCAGTCCACAAGACCATATTTCTGTGCGCATGATATTCGTTTTTGGCCAAGACGATTTTGAGATAACCGGCAGGTTTAAAAATGAGTCCCTCTCCTCAATCCATCCTCATCATCGGCTCGGGAGTGTTTGGCCTCTCTACCGCCTGGGCGCTCACCAAGAGGTCGTCTTTTGATAACACGGTCATCACCATCGTGGACGATGTGCGTGGAGCATCTTTCCCACCAGGAGACTCTGCCAGCGTAGACTCGTCGAGAATCATCCGACCCGACTATGCCGACCCGGATTATGCCGAGTTGGCAGCTTTGGCACAACAGGAGTGGCGCAAGCAAGGCGATGACGAGCTTGGTGGTCAGGAACGGTATACCGAGTCTGGCCTGCTTCTTGCGGCAAATGAGTCGACGGAGCCCAAGACGTCAGGTATGGGCTATACCAAGTCCAGTTGGGAGAACGCAACGCGCATCGCCAATGAGAGCGGGCAGGCCCATAGAATTCGACCTCTGGAAACGCCCGCGGCTTTACAGCGCAGCTTAGGCGTGGACGGCCATCCCGGCGATTGGGGGTATGTCAATGAGCTTTCCGGATGGGCAAATGCCGGCGAGGGCATGAGATGGTTATACAACCGGGTCAAGGCCACAGGCAGGGTCAACTTTGTGGATGGACGAGCGGAGGAACTCATTACTGACGGCAAGAGAGTTGTTGGGGCACGAATGAGCGATTCTGGAGTCCTGACGGCGGAAGTCGTATTTGTTGCAGCAGGCGCATGGACGGGCAGCTTGATTGACCTAAGAGGACGAGTAGAGGCCACAGCCCAGCCTTTGGGCTACATCGACATCTCAGAGGAAGAGTTTGAGGTACTGGCGAAGCAGCCCGTGGCACTGAATCTCAGCACTGGCTTGTTTATCATTCCGCCACAGTCGCGCGTCTTGAAGATTGCGCGACACTGTTTTGGATACCTCAATCCTGTGCTTGTTGAGACAGCACTGGCAGCCTCGCCCTCCGAGGAACGTAAGCCCATTGTGGTGTCGAGACCACTGACACAACGGGATGGGAGCAGGAATGCTACCTCACTGCCGCCAGACGCAGATCAGGCGCTGCGCCAAGCCTTGAGGGACATGTCGCCCGTCAAAGGGCTGGACAGTCGGCCGTGGAAGGAAACGAGATTGTGTTGGTATTCCGACACGAGCGACGGCAACTTCCTGGCGGACTGGCACCCGGGCTGGGAAGGGCTGTTTGTTGCGACAGGTGACAGCGGGCACGCGTATAAGTTCTTGCCCGTCCTTGGAGACAAGCTGGTGGACTGTATGGCAGGGAACGGAGGCAAGCTCGGAGAGAAGTGGAAGTGGAAGAAGGAGGCAGCAGCAGACGCAGGCCGAGAAATTGGTGGAAAGTTCAAGGGGCTGGTGACGATGGACGGGAGCAGGGGAGGGAGTCCAGGGTTGATATTGCAAGAGGAACTATCGGGGAGATGAGGCAAGACATGCCGTCATCTCGTCCGGCATGTCCGGGCTGGTAGCATTTCGTTTCTGATGAGCAGGATCGGATGAGTCTTCTGTGAGTAAAGATTGGTAGATACTTGGCGCAGGCAGTGATATGAAAAAATGTTGAAGTTGGGAAAATAATAATTTGTGCTCTTTTAATTTTTGTGAATGGTTGTGGTTTACGGGCTTTGCTCTTTCCTATCAACAAAGGCAGAAATATGACACTATCGGGACTGATGCTGTTAACGATGAGACCGTAACTGATAAATGCATATGCTTCGATGCTTGGTCGATGGCGCTATGCCTTTTGTGTTGCTACTGCTAAGCTCAAGCTCAACTCAACCGAAAGACATCCCCATATCATGGCCTAGCAATTTTCTAGTTTCCTCCGACCTCTCGCAATCTCTACGCGCCATGTCATCCTCCAAAGACCCCGCCGATCCACCTCGGTTGGAATCTAAATTCCAAAAACCCGCCAAGCAATCCGTGTTCGAGAAGCAAAAGGCCGAGGCTGAAGCCAAGCGTAAGCGCGAGGCTGCAGAAACCGCCGCCGTATACGAAGACTTTATCAAGAGCTTCGATCACGACGACGATGACGATACAGGGCACGGCGCGTCGGCGCAGCGGAATCAGCGGTTTGGGTTTGGCAACCTTGGTGGCCCTCCGCCCTCGGGTCCCAGCGGCGCATCGCGGCGGCACTTTGGCACGTCGTCGGGGATGAAGAGCGGGCCAGGGAGCTTGGGGATGCCGCCTATGCCGTTTGGAAAGAAACGATCCTTCAATGACTTTTCTAAAGAATCAGAGGGCAGAGCAACGTTGAAATTCGAGGACAAGAGCGATGATGAAGAGATGGTGGACCGCGCCGAGGAGAAGGCTATAGCGAGGCCGACTCTACGGCTGTCCAACCTTCCCCCAGGAATATCTCCCGCTACGATCAAATCGCTGTTACCTACGAACCTGACGGTCGAGAATGTCAAAATCCAACCTCCAGCCGGGCCTGGAGGGTCTGAGAGGAAATGCACGGTTGCCATCGTGACCTTGTCCAAGGAGACTCCTGCAACAGATATGGATGCTGCAGTAAGCTCGTTGCAGAACCGATATATGGGCTACGGCTATTATCTATCCCTGCATCGCCATCTCTCCTCTGCCGTGAGCAACGCCACGCTATCAGGACTGGGTTCTTCGGGTTCCTCATCTCAACCCTTTGGGGCAAAGCCAGTAGACCAAGAGTCTGGAGCTGGGCATAACGATCATTCACGCCATGGATTTCACCGGGGATTTGCCCCACCGTCTTCATACTCCAGCGGACAAGGGGGTGTAAACCGGACTGGCCTGTTATATGTGCCCGTCAAGCCTCCTCAGGATATTCGAATGATTAGGCTAATCAACAAGGTGATTGAAGATGTCCTTGAACACGGCCCCGAATTTGAGGCTCTACTCATGTCCCGTGCATCAGTTCAGAGAGAAGAAAGATGGGCTTGGCTATGGGATGCAAGGAGCCAGGGTGGCGTTTGGTATCGATGGACGCTTTGGGGAGTGATTACTGGTTCACATTTACAGCAGAAAAAGGGCAAATATGTCCCGCTCTTTGACGGAGGCCATGCGTGGAAAACACCAGAAAAGGGTCTTCGCTTCGAATACACCACTAGGCTAGATGAGTTCGTTTCAGACGGGGAGTATGACTCTTCAGAGGATGAAGACTTTGACGGAGACGCAAACCGTGACGGCGGCCCGGCCGGCGAAGAGGAGAAGACGTTTCTCAATCCACTGGAAAAGGCCAAGCTAGTTCATCTTTTATCCCGCCTACCCACCACGATAGCAAAGGTTCGTAAGGGAGATATTGCGCGAGTAACGGCCTTTGCCATTACCCATGTTAGCCGTGGTGCCGACGAAGTTGTCGACTTGATCGTCTCTAACGTTGAGCGACCTTTATCATTGGCGGTCACCAACCAAGATACGAAGAAAGAAGGCAGAGGAGAGCAACAAACAGCGGGCACCGAAGAAGGCACCGCTGCTGCAAGCGAAAACACAGACGCGAGCGCGGCCACCTTGGTTGGCCTCTATGTGGTCAGCGATATCCTATCGTCATCCTCTACTAGCAGTGTGCGCCATGCATGGCGCTATCGACAACTTCTCGAGACAGCCATGCGCTCCAGGAAGGTGTTTGAACGTCTCGGCATGATGGCTGAAAAATTGGGCTGGGGTCGACTACGTGCGGAGAAATGGAAGCGAAGCGTTACCCTTGTGCTAAACCTATGGGAAGGATGGTGCGTCTTTCCGGTAGAAAGCCATGCACTATTTGTGAGCGCATTCGAAAATCCACCGACGCTCAAGGCGCAAGGAAAGGTTGACGACTCCATCAAGAAGGGGAAATGGAAGGTCGTTGAAGCCAACCAGACCGCCCCCACGACGTCCGAGCCTGTCATCACTGGTGATGCTGAGGTAACGGCGCAGCAGCAGCAAGTGGAAGAAGTGGAGGAGGAGCAGGCAGTAGGCGAGCCTATCGAAGAAGATGACGTTGATGGTGAACCTCTTGCGGACGAAGACCTAGATGGAGAACCGATTGAGGATGACGACGACGACGTAATCGGAGAACCTATGGATGAAGACGACGATGAAGACATGGCTGATGCTGGTAAAAGTCACCAGGCTGAACAACCTGGCGGTGGTGATGTAAAGGCTACGGATACGACAAATGATGCGGAGGCAGATCCTCAAGAGGAGTCGCACTCTGGCGGTCGAGGCCAGCCCAGAAGACGAATGCGAGCGGCCGATATGTTTGCTGATTCGGACAATTCGGACGGGAACTAGTTTGAAGCCGGTGGACGAAACGAACCGGCAGTTGTATTGATGATTTCGAGATAATCTAGGGATATCAGGGCCCGAATGGGGGCGCCGTCCGTGGCGTACGGGAAGGGGAGCATGGGATATTGTTTAAAGCGCCTTGTACAAGAGCTGCAGCCTCTCTGGGCCGTATGACGAATGATTCTTTATTATTATTAAAGCAGATAGCCTACCTATGTATACCTACTACTATCCACTGCTTATTAGATACTCGGTGCCTTGGGGAATCCGAATCCATACATGGAGCTTTTCGGGAATTTGAGTTCGCCCATGTGAAGATTCAAGCTACAAATGGACATTGGTAACCAATAAGGACAAGATTGAAGATTTAGCACAGAAAAGAACATTGAAGAGTCCCCGAAAAGAAAATACATGTGCAGTTGATTGTGGCATCCGGCATCGGGTTTAGGATCAGGATCGAGGCATGGCGGCCGCACAGACTGATTGCTTGTCCCAGTCAGGCAGCTGGCTAATACACCGCAGTCGATATTCAAGACACATTGATAATCACATACGCGCACAGCTGTGCGCGAAGCATGCGCGCGGCTACAGTATTAGGTTGCTGGAGAAGAACTGGATGGAAGGGAAAAGGTGCAAAAGGAGCATGAGATAGGCCGACCAGACCCTTTCGGAGCGCGTGAGAGGGCCTGGAGATGGCCAATAGAAACTTGCTCAAAGAAGTGCGGGACGGGCGAACGCTGCACTGGCTTCTCAGGCGAGTTGCCCAGTGGAGATGACAAGAGATAAAAATAAACCTTGAACTTGCTGCTGTGCGTTTGGTGTTTTTGGTGGCGGTTCGGGAGGGGGGATTGAAGATGCTTTTGCGAGATTGGCGAGATGCTAAATCGTTCAATGCATAACGTCTCTTTTTGGTCTCCAGTTTGTGCTGTAAAGTTTTTTGCTTGCTTCCGATTTGGAGTCGCACGGCTCCGGTGCTCGGGATTTCGGGAGCGGCGTGGATGGGGCGGGCTTGCGGGTGTCCGGGCTAAAGAGGGGAGACGGACTGAATTATTGATTTGATGCCGTGGGATTGGGAGCGCGATTACCCGATTATTGACTGGATGGATGTGTTGGAGATGGTGCCATTCGCTGAGGTTCTGCGTTTTCTGCGCTGTTGCTGCTGCTGCGGCCAAGTAATAGCACGAGCACAGTTGATGCATTATCATTTCGACGCAATGACGTTGGACTGGGGGCTGATCCATTCGCTACATTCGGTACATGAACTCGTTTGTACGTATAGTACTAAGGTAACTCTCCGGAAAGATCCATGAATCCATTGCATGATCCATGAATGCTTCGGCGGCTTGGGCGGGTACCGGGTACTGAGCAGCGGGTAACCGATACCTGTGTTCACCTGGTCTCAAGGACCCTCCATGACGACGATGGCTTCATCTTTTCCATTTCTCGGTGCACAGTACCAACAGCAACTGTAGCTCGACACAATGGATCCAGTGTTGAAGCTCAAGCGGAAAGGATCAAGACGGATCAAGACAAAGGCAGCCCGTGGAAATGTTTCGTTTGACGCACGGCGTTTCACCAAGGCACCCTTGCGGCCCCTGGTTAGCGCATGCAGGCTACTGAAGCTGCATATGCACCCGCTGTGGTCACTGAGGCTGCCCGCTAAAGAAGCCCCTGGGATGGGCGATGAGGCCCCCCCGCACGCCGCCTGGGGAAATGAGTGCAAAGTCAGCGGTTCCAGATGCGCAAGCCACACGAGGCCATGTCCCTTTGTCGCCTCATTGTTGGGTTTGCACTTAAACTTTGCCCTTTTCATCCTTCTTTTTTTTTTTGCGGACTTTGAACGACTTTTGGCGAGTGTAAACACCATCAGGGCAGGAATCGACCGCGTGAGAGGATTGCTGGATACAATTGCTCTCGAAATCCGAGTCTCGGCTGTTACGGACTCGCACTCTTATCGAAACGCCGACAGCTATTTCTACTTAACAGCACTTGGTCAAACTCGAACGGTTGTGTTTTTTTTTGGCCATTTTCTCCCCGCCATTCGCTGACTCCCAACGGGGGGGGGTCTATCGTTATTCAGCGGCAGCTTCTGCCATCACGACATATTGGGGGAGCAAAGTATTTCCGACGGGCTGATTCATCATTACACGATCAACAGGCCGATTCGACCTTCGATGCCGCTGTGATTTTCTGCGTCTACGACTACTCCTCGCCTAGCTAGAAGCGCTGAAGCGCGCTGTTTGCGATACACAGAATTTTTTTTCTCGACTGCGGCGCATCGCTGCACTTGGCATTGGCTCAGGCGCGCAGCTGTTTTCAAATCCGACCATCCTAAGCGCAGAATCACATCCCGATCTCGCCATGCCTCTGATAAATGGCCAGAAGATGGCCTGGTATGTGCCTTTTTCTCTTCTCTTTTACTCTGGAACCTTGATAAGCAGGACCTCTGCGTCACTGTCCTCTCTGCTCGACTTTGATTGCGACTAACCGTCATTGTGCAGTGAGCCGTGCATCCGAGGCCATCGCTCCACCAAATGCACACACGCCTCTGAGCGGCTCATGGTCCCCGTGCGCAAGCCTGGCCGACCGCTCAGTTCGTGTCCGCATCCCTCGTCACAGCTTTGCGGCTGTGCTGCCGTGACGGCTGCCATCCCCAAGAAACAGAAATGCCGCTGTGGCACTTCGGAAAAGGCGCCTGGCCGCAAGGCGGGAGACCAGGAGAGCCCGGAGACGTCAAACGGGCTGGTCACGCCTCCAAGCCCATCCACGAAAGGATCCGCAACAAAACCAGCGTACCGCGTGCAGAAAACAAACTCCAAGACGGCCTCTGGCAGGAAACCTATCGACGCTGCAAGCTTAGAGAGAATAGATGCGAGCCAGATCAACATTATATCGTCTCCTGAATCGAGGTCCCCGCAATCGCCCAACGGCAACATACCCACAATACCTGTCGGCCATGGCATCATGGGGTTTGTCCCAAATGGTAACGCTTTTAACCCTGGCCCAGCTATATTTCCTTCCTACCAGGAGGTGGCATCGCCGAATCACATCCTCGACCACACTGCACCCAAACCGGCGGCGTCGAATGGACAAACCGTCCCCCCTGCAGTCGGAAGTTGCTGCGGGAATGGAAAATCGACAGCTGCCCAAGCAGATAGACAGCAGACGCCCATGCCAGACGGGAAGCCCGTCATTAAGAGCGAGCCTGGGAGCTGTTGCTCATCTGGAGCGGAAAAGCCCGAGATCAAGCCACACCAACACATGCCTAACCAGGTCAATGGCCTAATGATGTCGCAGTTTAATGTCCCGATTGGCATGCCGAATGCCGTGTATCCTTACATGGTTCAACCCACCATATTCGCATATCCACCACAATACGGCTCCTATCTTCAACCTCTTCAACCTGATCAGTATAGACAGCTGGTGATGATGAACCTTCCACAACCAATGACGAATATCCAGCCTGTGCCATATAACGCGGCCGCCCCGGTACAGTTGCCTCAGTCGAATGGCTTGGAGGCGGATTCATGGACAGGCCACCAGTGCGGCTGCGGAGACTCGTGCCAGTGCATTGGCTGTGCTACACACCCGTACAACCAAGCGACGCAGGAATACGTGCGGTCTGCCTTGAGCAGCATGGGAGAGGATGCCTACAAGCGTCACAGGCATTCTGACAGTGCTCAAAGCATTCCCAACGGCAACTATGAGACGGTCTCGCCCACTAACCACTCGCCGAATGGCGCTTCGACGCCCGTCATGGCCAAGGTGGAGGGAGCCATGTCGCCCACATTGGTGCGGACGCCATCAGAGGCCAACTCGAGCCTTGGCGAGGAGGCAACCCTGTCGGCGAATGACTTTTTCTTTGTTAGCTACCCCTTTGGCGACTCGTGTGAAGGAGAGATGGCTAGCTGCCCCTGCGGGGATGACTGCCAGTGTATCGGCTGCGCCATACACAATAGTTCCGCTTCAGCCGACTTTGAAGGCGTTGAACTTGGACTATGATGAGAAAAGGGAACAGTGATGAAAGGGGCCATGGTAGTATATTAGCCATGAGTCCGATACTGATTGTTTGGAACCGTTCTTTGAACCGCGACTCTGTCGACGACGCTCGGGAATACTACTACTCAGTATTTGTTTTGCTTGCTCCTAATGATAGATACCCAACATGTAATAAATACAGTAAAAGGGAGCGTTTGGAACTGAATTGCAGTCTAGTATTTCTGTCGTTAGGTAGCCAACGTGGGTCACAATTCACAACTCGCATCTCTTGCCCTTGTACATAAGGTACCATGGCTGTGAAAATCTACTAGGTACTAGAAGAATGTCTGCCCATGTAAACAAAGTATATGCATCTTTAGACAAAAGGCGAGAATTCAATCTACGCCCTCTAGCAATGCAGAGACTAACAGCCACTAAGGGAAAGGCATGGTTGCCGGGTACTGTGGGGCGCACTGTGCTGCTATGCTGGGAAAGTTCTCACGCTTTGAACCAGCTTCAGAGCTAAGACATTCAATACCTAGCTGAGCCTCAGTGCGACTTTTCAGATTTGCTATAATTGCGACACGAGCTGAGATTGGTCATCCTAATTACCCGCTTCTTCTTCTTCTTCTTTTTTTTTTTTGGAAGTCTCATCAGCATCCTCTTGGCGTGCAGTGCCTCATATTATATGCTCACACGGTCTACGGAGTAATCAACATGCCTCAGTCTTCCAGGATTTCGACACGCGACGGACATGAATCGCGTCATCGCCATTCACACCAGGAAGGAGGCTCACGGCGCCACCGCGACAATAGATCTCGGTCACCGGATGGAAGCCCGCAGAGGCACTCCGGGGAGCGCAGGAGAAGGACGTCACCCAGGAGGAGAGACAGGGAGAGGGAGCCTCGAAGGCCGCGCTCATCTGATGGGCACCATGGCTCATCGAGTCGTGCAAGCAAACAGGCGAGCCAAGTGGCGGTAGCGCTGCCATATGGGGCTCGACAGCTTTCAAAGGATGACCTCGGGGCGTTTGAGGCGCTCTTTGGCGAATACCTGAGCCTGCAGAAGCAACGGTCCATCGAGGACATGGATGATCGGGAGATTCGTGGTCGGTGGAAGAGCTTCGTGGGCAAGTGGAATCGCGGAGAGCTGGCTGAGGGGTGGTATGATCCCGACATGTTCCAGCGTATCCTTGAGCGGGACCCATTACCCAAGAGACAGCCAGAGCAGCAACATTCACCACGAGATGCACCACGGGAAGCCGGGCATCCCGACAGCGCCGGGACCGAGGACGAGGACGAGGACTACGGCCCTGTGCTTCCGGGCGCATCGGCCGGAGGTCGTCGGGCTGGCGTTGGAATTCCGACCAAGGATGACCTTGCTTTACGCGATGAGCTTGTCGCGGAATCCAGAGAGGCTGATCGGGAAGATCTACGCGCTGCCCGCAAAGCTGACCGGAAGCTGCAAAAGGAGCGTCTTGAAGACTTGGTGCCTCGCGCCGAGGCGGGTACCCGTGAACGCAAGCTGGAGAAGCGACAAGAGGTCAATGAGAAGATGCGGTCATTTCGAGAAAAGAGCCCTGGCGGAGAAGTGCGTGATAGCGAACTGATGGGAGGAGGTGACAGCGTGGAAGATTACAAGAAGGCAAAGGAGAAGGAGCAGCGGCGCAAATCGGAGAGGGAGATTCGACGGGAAGAGATGGAGAGAGCGAGGAGAGAGGAGATTGCGGAGAAGAGGAGGGCGTGGCAGGAGAGGGAGGACGAGACGGTGAGTATGCTGAGAGAGTTGGCCAGACAGCGGTTTGGGCCTTGAAGATGGATGCGGCGTATCGAAGGCGCTGGGTTTTCATCTGTCTGTCTACAATGATTTGGAGTTGAAGACGCATGCTTCTCGACATGCTCAGCTTCAATCATGGCTGTGGAATGCCGTTGTTGCGAACAAATGAGGACGACTTCTGGACACCCCCTTGACGCTCGTGATTTCACGACTGCTCAACTATCAAAACAGGTGGCTGTCGGTCCTTGGGCTGGATCTCACACTGTGAGGGCGGCGCTTGCAAAACTCACCCCACCAACACCCAAAAAAATGAGAGATGTGACTTGGACTCGTCAAAGTTGGAGATTGATAGATGACAACACGCCTGATTTCTTAGCTGTGACATCACAGAACCGGTCTCTTGGATTATATCTTGGATAGCAGCACGAACCACCGAATCATTCAGAAAGGAGAAATCTCCCGGCTCTTCGCACTACAACAGCTGAAATTTGGCATCCAGTCGTTGAGCCTCGACAAGCTCACTCTGCTGATCATTCTTTCGCCAACACACCACTCTCTCCAATCCCCTTTCACTCCGTCGACATGGAACAGGGCGACGACTATGGCACGGGGGGCCTGATGGACGATCCCGAAGACTACTACCCCTCTACCCCTCCGCCAACGAAGCAAATTTTCACCATGGGAAGCGGCAAGGAGGTTGTTTTGCACTTGGTTGGCCACAGCCCTACGGAGGCACATCATCTATGGAACGGCGCAAAGATCATATCGGACTACTTTGAGGAGGACCCTGCACGGGTACGGGGCAAGACCGTCTTGGAGCTTGGAGCTGCGTCGGGACTCCCTTCACTCGTGGCTGGCATTCTTGGAGCAAAGAAAGTTGTCATGACTGATTTCCCTGATCCGGATCTCGTCATGAACATGCAGAAGAACATTGATGAGTGTGATGAGACGACAGGGCCAAAGGGCCACATTGCAAAGGCGGTTGATGCGGCTGGGTTTGTCTGGGGTGGAGATCCGGTGCCTCTCATTGCCCGTCTCTCATCCGTTGAAGATGGTTCAAGTTTACCGGTCGCAGAAAAGCGTTTCGACGTGCTGATTCTCGCGGATCTGCTCTTCCGACACTCGGAACATGGCGCCTTGGTCAAGACGATCAGGGAGACGATGAAGGTTTCGCGGGATAGCGCGGCTTACGTCTTCTTCACCTCGTACAGGCCGTGGAAGAAGGACTTGGACATGGGCTTTTTCGACGTGGCGCGCGAGGCAGGGTTCGAGGTGGAGCAGGTTTTGGAGAAGAAGCTGGAGAAGCCGCTGTTTGAAAACGACCCGGGCGATTTGGATGTGCAGAAGACGGTTAAGGGATTTATCGTGCGGTGGCCGGAGAGCGTGTGATGCTGGGTGGTGAAGGATGGGATTGAAAAGATGGGGGGCGGGTTGGGATGGCACGTTGCATTTGACTTGTTTAGAGCAGAACTACTCCGTATGGAGATTTGAAATAGCAAATCACTACGATTTTATTGTGTGAAACCAGAGAGAAGAGAGGGAAAGGATCGTATGTTGCCCCGGTTTTTTACTTGACTGTTTGCTCATATCGAACCGATATTCGGTGGCCTCGGTTCGGTTTGAGTCGGAGGTGCTGCGTTTGCTCGTTTGGGATGTTGATCTACAGGCTGTGCCGCCGTGGCTGAAAGCTGGAGGAAGGAAAATGGAGTTTTTAGTTGTGAATAGAGCGTGGAACTAGTCGTGGGATGCATGTGAAATCTTGAGGGGGCTTCGTATAATAACTCGACTTTGATCACGGTAGAAGGATTTAGCCAGCCCCGCATCTTGTGATATAAGTGTACGGAGTAGATGCATGTTCAACCTTCAACAGACATCTACCTTGGGTTTCAACTCTCTCCTCATATCTACTCAAAGTATAAAGAAAGAAACCTCTGGCAATTCAAAAGTCACAACACACATACATCATGCCTGCGCAAAGTACATCTTCCCACCTGGCCAACCTCCAGCGCGACGGCTTCGTCGTCGTCAAATCCATCGTCTCCCCCTCCAAACTCGAGGCCCTGCGCACCGCCAGCCGCAAAGCAGAGCAGCTCGCCCGCAGCGGCCAGTGGCCTCACGTGCGGACGGTGGGAAAGCAGTTCCCGCCGTGGAACCACGAGGAGGCGCTGGAAAAGGGCATCTGGGGCGTGCAGCACCTGATGAAGCCGCAGATGCCGGGCCACGAGACGTTTACGGCGCTGTACTTTTCCGAGGAGATCTTGAGCATCGTGAGGGAGCTGCTGCAGTGCGAGGACGAGGAGCTGGTGATGGAGCTGTTCAACATGCTGGTGAGGCCGGACGAGGACTTTGAGCTGCGGTGGCATCGGGACGACATTGCGGCGGAGGCGTCGGCGGAGGAGGAGATGGAGAGGCTGGGACGGCCTGCGTTTCACGCGCAGTATAACTTTGCGCTGTGGGAGGATGAGTCGCTTGTTTTGGTGCCGGGGTCGCATCGGAGGGCGAGGACGGAGGTTGAGAGGAGGGCTGGGCCGTTTGAGGGGGAGATGCCGGGGCAGGTTGTTGTGAAGCTGGAGGCGGGGGATATCGCGTTTTACAATAACAATATCTTGCATCGGGGGGTGTATGATGCGAAGAAGGAGAGGGTGACGCTGCATGGGTCGGTGGGACATGTTGGGGGGAGCAAGTTGCGGGCGAGGAATGTGTTGCAGCATGGGGTTGGGGGATGGGTTGATGGTGTTGATTTCTCGGGGGTGGAGGGGGAGGGGGAGAGGAGGAGGGCGGAGGGGATGAGGGAGAGGTTGGTGAAGCTGGGGAGTGAGAGTGGTGATGTTGGGTATTCGCTGGAGGGGTGAGGAGGTTGTTCAGGGGGTGATGGATGGAGTGTATGGGTTGAGGATGTGTATGTTGACTTGATGAATAGTGATGAGACGTGTAATTGGAAGAAATAAGAGACTTTTCGATGATTGAATCATCTGTGTATATTTGATAGACGTGATGGATCAAGTAGATGTAGTGGTTGTAGTAGATGTAGTAGTTATAGTAAATGTAGTAGTTATAGTAGATATAGTAGTTGTAGTAGATATAGTAGTTGTAGTAGATATAGTAGTTGTAGTAGATGTAGTAGATGTAGTAGATGTAGTAGATGTAGTAGATGTAGTAGATGTAGTAGATGTAGTAGATGTAGTAGATGTAGTAGATGTAGTAGATAGTAGTACCTACTATATGGTTGAGCAGAATGAGTATGTCGAACTCGTTGAGAAGTGTTGGTTTGTTGTCGAATCCAGCGCTGAGTCGAAACCGTCGAACCATCGGGCCCACAGGAACAACACCTGTCCACACTCCTGGGCGAAATGGGTTCTGTTGAATGTGCTCTACCCAGACAAGCTCGACGCGCATAGACAGGAGGCTGCGAGCCGCTTTGGCAACTACTATATGTTGTCTCCGATTTTACGGCCGAGTATCGACATTATAGGTACCTTAGTAGTAGATTGTACTTACTAGGTACTACTAGGTACTAATGGTAGATAAGGTAGATGAAGTAAAAATACTTTATTATATGCCATTGAATCTTTTACAAAGAGTACTCCAAGTCCCAGCCAAGGACACTTTAAATCAGGCCCGCTCATATGGTATCCAAAGTATAAAACACATATTAGCTTTGAAGAAAAAGCTTTTGTAAATCATAAACAAGCCGGCATCTACCGCCCTCTTTCGCAGAATATATAAACAAACCATTATCATCAAGCTCTCCCCCTCCAAAAAATGCAGATTCTGATTTCAACAACATTCTTCGACATCCATACATGATGGCTCCAAACAAAAGACCACTCGCTAGTACCAACGGCTGTCCTGCATTGCCGTTGCTTGCAAATGACAAAGATATGCCAGTTGACCTCAGCCTGGTCTCTCTATTCGAGGGCCTTGCCAAAGTTTCATCGACCACCAAGCCAGATCCCGGTAGTCTCGGCCGCAAAGATCCAGAACTTCGCCGGTTGCTTTCACTTAAGAGGTCTTACGCGCCCCGAGAAGTCCAGCCCACAGAGAATTCTTACACAAAGATTGGCGCCGGTGCTTGCGGCGTTGTTCTTGCACAGGAGAAGAGTTCCTCTGTTATTAAATTAGCCAAGAACGATCACATGTCCCTCTGGAACGATTTCCACATGCACCGCTCGATCGAAAGACATTTTCAAAACTGGGAGTTTACAGAAGTTCGAATTCCTTGCTGCTATTACTATTCCCCAAAAGAGAACAACCTCTATTTCAAGAACCGCCCAGAGGTAGCCCAGGCGGCTCAAGATTTGTGCCATGTACCCACCAGCGTCCTCGTCACACAGAGGATCGCTCCGTTACCTGAACGTGCTCGAAATTTGCTGATTGAAAAGTATTGCGCGCCACGGATCAAAGAGGCCGCGCTTAGAGATGCGTCGAACAAGGAGTGCTTGGTGAGAGTGTACCTCGGTTCACTAGAGGGCAAAAGCGAAAGACTCTTCTTCTCTTTGCGAAACTTCAAGCTTCATCTCAACCAGATGGCGGACCTACAATTGGACATCAAGATGATGGCCGGCAGGATAGGCGTAGCTATGGCGCTTATGCATTGGGCGGCTGAGACTGACGCTCGCGATGTCGAATTTGTGCTCGGCAGTGATCCAATGAGGCCAGCACTTACAATGATCAGCACAGAGCTATGGGTTCTAGATTTTAACCAAGTTCAGCCGATTACCAAGGATGAAGCCGGGGTGTCAAAAGCCGTTGAAGCGGCCGGGATTAACGACCCGTATCTTCCAAAGCCTCTTGGGACATCTCCAATCGAGAGACAGGCTTGGAATGCATTCGCGGGCAATTACATCAGGGCGGCTGATATTATTCTGGAAGACAAGGACCAAAAACTGCTGCTGAAGTTGCCTCGAATGTTTATTCGAGGGCTTATTGAGCTACAGAAATCAAAGAAGGGGGCAAAGAAGCTGGTGGAAGAAGAAGGGAATAAACCATCCTGAAGATGGATGCAAGATTATTAGAGTGATATGTAAGAAACAGTGTATTAATAAATAATATACCTATACCTACCTAGTATCTCAAGTGGATGGGAATCTATCAAAGATGCAGGATAGTTTCAGCAACTATCAAGCTCACTACCTAGTAGCTTCAGGATGTAATTCCGGTTCCGTTCATCAGCTCAACAAAAGGCTGCTTGCTTAAGCTGCTCAACAAAAGGCGGTTACCTGCATTGCCAACTCACTCTGGCCGGGAGCCTGTTTCCGTGCCAGCTCTCAGCTCTTTTATATGATATTCCGTACATACCTAGCTGCAAGGTTCCAGGGTCCTAAATCAAACAGATGATCAAGACCTACCAAAGTAACAAACGCACTGCCCATCTGTCCGTCCTTCCAAGCAGGAATTCAAGGTTCAGATTCGCACTATACAATCCCTACCCACCGTACTGTCTAGTCGTCGTATAGTGAGAGAATCCCACAAGAGCCATGTAGTTGGATGAGGGACACCATGACAAAATCCGGCAGCCAGTGGTGGCCCAGCGTTCGCTCCATAGTCGCAAATCTGCAACAAAGTTCCATTAACTTGTGCCTCTCGTCGTGTCCTCTCGGCCTTGGCCTGCCATGGCTTGCCTGCGTGCAGGAAAATGTACATCCAACAACATGAATGTTGGTCCACATCTACTCGGTAGGCTACATGTCGGCGAATAACCTCACGGTGCTGCTTGCATTCCATCTGCGTGATGTATTCTTCGCATGGCAAGAAGGAGTGATCAAACGGCTGCTGCCCGTCACCCAGCCCATCATCTTCATCTCTGCTGGGATATAAATACCCTCCAAGAAGTCTGCTGCTTTTCCTTCCGGTCATCCATCACGAATCAATTCATTGTTTGACAAGAGACTTCAACAAGCACCTACTTATTCAACATGGCAGCGCTCGTAGCTGGACCTCCCCTTATTCCTGCTCTTGAAAGAGCCTTGGGGATTCGAAGCTTTTCGGAAAGCCGCGAACTGTAAGAAGCCACCGCCAAGGCACTACCTACAGGAGATGGCTAACATCATTCCACCTAGGTACAACAGCTTACGCGACGATGCTCATCAACCTCCTGTCGCAAGCGAGCATCTCCAGAACCTCGCTGCACTGTTCGTTCGATACAATGCTCAGAATGCTCTGGGCGTTCATCTGATCCACGGCCATTTCAAGATACCTGAGGATACCATCTTGCTAGGCGCGGACTTTCAAGAACCCAAGGGTCGCTGGGCAAAGGTCACACAGGTCGAAACAATCGATCCTGCCACTGTCCATGGACACATGTTTGTCCTCAGAAAGGATGGCGTGTGCGCGTATGAGTACCAGGACGGGACAATGCCCGATCTTTCTGCTGTTGGGGAGGGTTTCTTGGAGGGTTTTGCTAATTACCTGACTATGAATGATTTGCAAGACCTCATTGGCCTTCAGGTGCTCAGTGGTTGTGGCGATCATTCCATGTCGGAGCTCATTCTGGATGAGGGGACTGTCATGCTCGAGTCATCAGCCTTGAAGGGGTGCACTCCATCCAGGATCACTGGTTGGAAGTTCGAGGTCAATCATGGGAACCCGCGTGTTTGCCAGGCAAACGAGACTCACTCAAAGATGAAAACCGGTAACCACAAGGTCTTCAATGCCGGCAAACCGCTTCCCAAGTTGGAGAGTGTTGATGATCTAAAGATGGCTCTCACTGATGCAGGCGTTATTTAATCCACGCTCAGCTTCACTGCTGTATTGTTCCATGGCTAGCATTCAGTACACATTCTGTTCTCGAGCCATTTGTATCCGTCACTAATCCGGCATCTCAGTCAAGATCCTCGAACCTGGTTGCTGGAATGATCAGAAATCCATCCAGAGATAGCATGTTGTAGCGCCCCTGCTCATCATCACCAATGGGAACGGCAGGAGTCTCATTTGCAAGCCGCCTAGTGAAGCCATCAGAAAGCAGTAAGCCCGTGACCCTAGCCAGCTTGATAGCTTGCATCTTGGCCTCCGTCAAGCCTCCCACCTCCTTTGTGAAAATATCCCAAAATGTATCCTGTAAGTCGGCATAATCTTGGAAACGTGTCCAGCCGTCCTGAATATGGAGCTTGCCTGTAAAAGCTTGCAGCGTCTCAAGATTTAGGCCAAACGGGCAGATCTCAGCTTCTGCCCAGTCAATGATGCCAACCAGATGACACGACGTCTCGTCGACCATGATGTTGCAGGTGCTAAAGTCTTGGTGGAGAAGCACCATTGGCAAGGACATAACATCATCCATCGATCTAATGCAATGCTCGATGATGGAATGGAAGCGACTTGGCAAGGTAGAGAGCAAAAGTCGTAGCTCCTTGAGATATGTCTGGCCTAGTTGGTCCCGATACGCAGAGTCGACTTTCTGGGGGGTTTTCCACGAGATCGCAAAGAAGCTACAGGCCATCAGCTAAATGCCCCTATAAATGTTTTACATGGGGTTTACCAACCGCGCTACATCTGCCATAAAAGTCTTGCGCCGGGCAAAGTTTTCGTGCGAGTTCTCGGGGAAGCCATGTGCCAAGATGAAGTCCAAGTGGGTGATGCCTTGTATACGACGCATCAAGTATACATATAGAGGCTCTTTCCCTTCAATCTCATCTCCTATCTCGCCTTCGAATGAGACCTCGGGCGCCAGAGCTCCGTATATCTTGCACGCCAGTGCGGTAGTCTCTGTCTTGAGCTTCAGGGACTTGAGCCGGAACTGGACGACATATTCAAGGTCAGGCCCAGCATAGACTGAATAGCTACAGGCGCCTTGCACTTCGACAGGAACGACGCTGCCTCCGACGAGTTCCCTTGCTCGAGCGTCGCATGCAGAACGAGCGGCTGACGTCTTCGTCGTAAAGAAGCCGGCAATTTCCGCATCATTGGAATATTCCGAATATGAAGTGGTCATGATGCAAGGAGTTGTTGAAGTCGTTGGTGACAGGATAGGACAGTAGAACTAAGATGAAGATGTGTGTGAGGGTTAGATTCTTGGAAAGCACAGGAACCGTCACAACCACCGTTTGCTTGTCCGTGCCCCTGGCTGACAAAGATGCGATGGTTACACTCTCGCACCCACCACACGTACATGCACGGAGGTTGGGAAGCCAAGAGATGAGCCAAGAGGGAGACACACGGCGGAAACATGATTGAATGAATATTTTCTCTAGATCACATTCAATTATCTTGATAGTTGTTTGTTCGAGTTTGTATCGTAACAGTCGTTATCATTACAACGAAGAGTCGAGAGAGCCTCAACCTCCCATATAAACCAGATAACCCGCTCCTTGCAGTCCCAGATGTGTCCAATAGTCGTCATAGCAGTAAATGGTAAAAGAAAAAGACTGATCAAATCTTGCCGCGGAAGCCACCATCTCTTCCATAATCTGCAAGGCACAGGCCATGAACAGGAGACATCTCACCGTGAGCCAGTCCCCGTCTCCCTTTGGCCATGTGCCACAACACCGCCATGTCCGACCCAAAAGCCGTCGTTCTCGGAAGAACAGCGAGATGAGGCGATCTCCCAAGCCTCTGACCCATAGAGAACTGCTTCCACTTGGAAATGGCCTCGCCTCCGATGAGGGGATCGACAACTTCGAAGAGAATGGCCTTGCCTTCGGGCGTAGGCAGCACCTCCTCGAAGACCACCGCACCGTACTGCTCCAGCCGCTCAATAGGAGACAGAGATTGATACGCTTCATCGGCCTCCTTCTCTGGACGAAGCGCGAGGCGCAATGTTTTCTGCAGCTTCCGCTTGCCGCCTCGGCCGTTGACCATGACGAGATCGCAGCTCCTTATCGGGTCGTCCGGGGCCTCGACATGGTTTACGGCCTGCTGCATCCACAAGACAAACGGATGCATGAACCCCCACCAGATGGCGAGATCCGACAGAAAGATGTTAAAGTCAAAGCGCACGTAATGGATGCGAGTCCAGTTGAGCAGCGTCGGATCTCCGCTGTGAACGGAACCATTGCTGACGTCCTTTGCCTCGAGGAGATAGGGCCAGTCCTGGAGACGATCATAAGCGTTGAGCATCAGCCTGAAGCCAGGCCCTTGAAATGCGTCCAAGGACTCTTTAAGGATAAGAAGATCCAGTGCATTTGTGGGAATTTTCGGCTTGATCCTCGCCTCGACATCTGGCAGAGGCTTATCGGGAGGCGCCGTGTCGGCAAAGTGAAGAGTATCGAGTTCAAAGTTGAATAAGATGTGCTGCGGCGATACATCCAGAACAACAGGCCACTCCCCGTAGTGCCCGGTGGTTTTGTGATTTTCAACACTGCGGGTTTCCAGGTTGTTGTAGTATTTGCTCACGATACGGCGAGACTCTGCGTTGACATGCATGGCCACGGGCGGACGAGCTGTGCTTTTCACGCTCCATTGGCCTTTGCCGACTCGATGGGGGACCAGACCGACGAGGCGAGGCTCTATGGTGTCCAGCCATATCTTTTCACGGAGCTCATAGGGGAGTTGAGAGAACTTGACCATGGTCGGTGACTGTTGGTTTTGGCGTTGTCGAGGGGAAGGACGATGTGTGATGTATGATGTATGATGAACAGGGTGATGTGGTGCGGAGTATGTAGGCTCTCGTATATGTAGAGGGAGAGACGACGATAACAAGGACAGATATTGGAGACAACTAGGCGGCAAACATGGCATACAAGGAAAAGATCAGGCCAGGTCAAAGAAATACGAGTACACGTCTTGATTGATATACTTCTGGGGCCAGTTGAATGGCAAGCGGACGTAATATAAGAAGCTGACCGGGTGGGCAGGGATGCGGCAGTGAGGCTGAATAGCGAGGCGCCTTGCATGGGCGATGAGGAGCTAAAAGTAGATGCTGATTACCCACGAATTGGTCATGTGAAAGCTTGGCATCATTACTGTACAGTATCTGCGCCGTGAGATGGATATCGGGGCAATGAAGAGGTTGAAGCTATCATTGGAATAGAGACAACGTCCGCAGGTTGGCATTGAGCTCGTCCCCGGTTTTTTTTGGAGATGTCTGGCTCCAGGGTAGCACTACGGCCGCCGCATCTCGATTGAGGGGCAGATGAGGTAATCCAGCCAATCCATTACAGTTACAGCTACAGCAGCATCTGTAGTGGTGCGTGTCCTGCTGAAGCCTTGCGCCCAGGCCAGCAGCTCGCTAGGCTTCAAGCGCCCTAGTGCTGGGCCTTGCTGGAGCTTCGAACAAGGCACTACAAACACCATCACCAACTCCGTCATTCATCCGCCTTCGCTCTCCATCATACCAAACAAGTCACTCCCTCTCGATTCCCCGACAGCTCGACCTTGGCCCTCAATCCAACATCCAGCACAGCCGCCGTCACTCACCATGGGCGCAGATCCCCAGTACGTCAAGTGGCCTCTGCTGCCGCTGTCCCAGCACGTCTTCACCCTCACAAACGGCTATGCCTCCAAACAGTCCCAGCTGGCCGCCGTCAAGGCCCTGCAAGACGCCATCGCCCAGGACAAGATGGCGCCCTTCTACCGCTACCTGGCCCACCCCATCGAGGGCATCCTCAACGCCGTGGGCGAGAGCAGCTCCTCGGCACCGGGCAGGCCCCCCAGCCGGAAATCCAGCATGGTGGCGACCAAGGCTGCGACGGGGGCCGTCAACCTGCCGTGGGACGAGGACCTATACAACAAGCTGAAGGAGGACAACGACAAGGAGCTGGCCGACTTCCAGAAGGAGCAGGACGAGGCCGAGGAGCAGGCCGGTGACACAGAGGTCATGGCGGCCAAGGGCAAGCGAGCCGACTTTTGGGCTCGAGTGGGCGACAAGGTGCGATTATACATGATAAGATGGGTTGTTTGTAGGGCTGAGCCGAGCCGAGCTAACTCTTGACATTGTTCCATGCAGGACAAAGCAATTGCCGAGTTCGAGAGCTTGTTCGAAAAGACGGGCATCCTGGGCACCAAGATCGACCTGGTGCTGGCCATAATACGCATGGGGCTCTTCTACGGCGACAAGCCCCTCGTCGGGAAGCAGGTCGAGCGGGCCAAGACGCTCGTCGAGACGGGCGGCGACTGGGACCGCCGCAACCGCCTCAAGGCCTACGAGGGCCTGCACCTCATCACCGTCCGCGCCTACAACACCGCCGCGCCGCTCCTGCTCGACTCCCTCTCCACATTCACCAGCTACGAACTCTGCACCTACTCCAACCTCGTCGTCTACTCGGTCCTCGCCGGCTCCGTCTCCCTCAAGCGCGTCGACTTCAAGTCCAAGGTCGTCGACGCCCCCGAGATCAAGGCCATCATGGGCGACGGCGAGGACAAGCTGCTGGCCCTCAGCGGCGCCCTCAGCGCGGGCCCCGGCGCCGACGACTCCGCGGGCGATAAGCTCCCCAAGGCGGCGGCCACCACGGCGGTCAACCTGACCACCCTGGGCACCAGCACCGACCAGCCCGAGGCCGAGATGGCCATTGACTTTAGCCCCCTCGCCCTGCTCGTCAGCAGCCTGTACAACGGCAACTACAAGACCTTTTTCCAGTCCCTCGCCTCCGTCGAGGAGCAGTTCCTCAACCACGACCGCTACCTGCACGAGCACAAGAGCTGGTTCATCCGCGAGATGCGCCTCCGCGCCTATCAGCAGCTGCTGCAGAGCTACCGCGTCGTCGGATTAGAAAGCATGGCCAACGACTTTGGCGTCACGGTCGACTTTTTGGACCGGTGAGTTTTTACACATACATTTTTTGCAATTTTTTTTCTCTTTTACATTTGTTGATGAATGTTACTAATAAACGTTTGATATTAGCGATCTGGCTCGATTCATCGCTGCCGGCCGCATCCCTTGCACCATTGACCGCGTCACCGGCAAGGGCGTCATCGAGACCAACCGTCCCGACGACAAGAACAAGCAGTACCAGGACGTCGTCCGCCAGGGCGATCAGTTGATTACGAAGCTGCAAAAGTACGGCCAGGCTGTCAGACTAAGGGGTAGCGAGAGAGCATGAGCGTAATGTAGCATGGAAGTAATGAAATGGCTTTGATGGGGGGAAAAAAGAGGAAGAAAGGGGCTGCGTCATGGGGGGAAACTTGCAAAACTGCAAGTTTCGCCCATGAGGTTGTATCGTACTCGTTTTAGACATGAGTCGTTGTGCAACAGATAAAATAAATAAACAAGCAAAACAGACACAAAGAATAAATCCAAAAACACCACAACGAGGGGCTAATTTGATGCTGTGAAATGTTTTGTTGTAAGTACACGTCACCCAGTTGTTTTTTACAAGACATTCTATCATTTTCTACTATATTATTCTCTATCCACCCACGCGATAAAAATATCCAAATCTCGCTCACAGTCCCTTTTAAAAAAACACCTCTACCCTATTTTTGAAACAGTATTTTGCTGTACACGGCATTTACCTGTACTTGTCCATAAACTCCTGGTGGAACTTGGTGATCCGGCTCACCCACTCGGTTCCAGGGGCAAGGAAGGTGGTGCGGAAGTGCAGGGTGCCCTCCCGCTGCCCGAAGCCGCTGCCGGGGACGACGCAGACGCCGGTGGCCTCGAGCAGTCTCATGCAGTAGAACTCGTCAGGCTTGCGGCCCTCGGCAGTGGCAGCGTCAATGGCCCTCTGGGGAAGGGTGATGGTGGGGAAGAGGTACATGGCACCCTGGGGCTCGCCGCACTCGACGCCCTCCATCTGGTCAAAGGCCTTGTGGAGGGCGTTGGCGCGCTCGCGGAGGCCGTTGGCAATGCCGTTGTACTCCTTGTCGTAGAGCTCGAACGAGGGCTCGCCGGGTTGGGGAGGGTTGACCATGAGCTCGACGAGGCATTGGCCAATGACGGGAGAGCAGAGCATGATGGAGACGAACTTGTAAATGGTGGCTTCGACTTCGGGGTCGAACCCGACAAGCTCAAAGTAGCCACCACGGTGACCGCACTCGCCCACCATGCCCTTGGAGACACTGTGGAGAGAGGCCAGCTCGACGTCGTCGTACTTTCCGGGGTTCTCCTGCTGCAGCTTGCGGAGAACACCCTTGAAGCTGTGGAACTGGCCGATGAAGACGTTGGTCTGGTAGACCTCGTCGGCCATGATGACGAGCTTCTCCTTGCTGGCGAAGTCGATCACGGAGCGAACATCAGCCTCGGACAGAGAGGCTCCAGTGGGGTTGCCAGGGTTGATGATGACGATGCAGCGGACATCGACACCCTCGGACTTGGCCTTTTCATAAGAGGAACGGATGGCCTCGAGGTCGGTGCCCCAGGCCTTGGACTCGTCGAGGTAGTAGGGAACGCAGGTGGCGTTGAGGACGGAGAGGGTGGCGGTGTAGAGAGGGTATTGGGGGATGGGGACGAGCACGCCGGACTTGGGAGACTCGGCGAGGATGTGAAGAAGGGTGTTGACACCGGACGAGGCACCGGCAGAGAGGTAGATGTTGGCAGGGTTGGCGGGGAAGCCATCTCTTCCTGTAAAGCAACAAGTTGTGTCAGTAAGCCGACTTCAGCTCCGTATCAGAAAGGAACGGCACTCACTCTCGAGGAACTTGGCGATGCTCTCCTTGATGGCGTATACACCGCTGCTGGCGCTGTAGGCACCAACAGAGCCGCAGTGCTTGAGCAGCCACTTGGCACGCTCAACAACGTCCGTCTTGTAGCCCAGGCCGTTGATCAAGACATCCTCCTTCTCGAGGAGCTGCGGGTTCTCCAGCAGGCTGAGGACCTGGCGGAAGAAGGTGATGGGCTTCTGGTCCAGCTGCTGGGGGTTGCCGATGTTGGCCGAGATGACCTGGTCAAAGGGCAGGCCGGTGGCGCCCTTGCTGAGCTGGGCACGCAGCTCCTCCGACTTGACGGCGAGCTCGCCACGGACGGCGTATTCGGCCGCGCGGACGTGCGGGTTGATGTTGTTGATGTTGAGCCGGCCCATTTTCGCGGTAGTTGAGAAGGATCGAGGAACGAATCTGCGATGGTGATGGTGGGGTTGAGAAGTTGTCGATGGCGGGGCACAAGGTGTGAGTAGCGATCGCCGATGACCGGCGGCTTCCAGACCTTTTTGTTTTGGTGTCAGTTGGCGAAAAGAATTGTGTAAAACCAAAAAAAAAAAAAAAAAGAGAAGTCTTTCAAAAATGTTGGAGACGTATAAAAAAAGAAGAAGAAAAGAAGAAGAGAAAATCACGGGGAAGAGTCTGTTGGAGAGGAGTGGAGCTGCTTTCAATGCTCTGCGTCTGGAGTAGTCTGGACCCCGAGATCCCCCCCAAACATGGAAACTGTCGGCTGATGGTTACCCAGCGGTAGGGAATCCACGGGATCTGCGCGCTTCTTTTGGCTGCTGTTAGGCCCGAGCCATTGCCCACAAGGGGATTCACCACCACACCTCATCCAGGATCCATGACACGCAGAAACAGAAAAAAATCAGCGCATCAGTCGCTCCACGCATCGTCTGGCACGCCCTATCGAGATTGGTGGATCTGGGGATAGCTGCGGCATTGGGGGTAGTTTGTGGGAGCATGATGCAGGGCATGGAGTGCTTGATTTAGTCGGTGGTTTCTGTTTGTTGCATGTTGAGTGCGGACAAAAGAGAGGCTTCTTGGGAGCTGAAGCTGGTTTGCTCCCTTGGCCCGTATAATTGCCCGTGATCCCTCGCTCCAATGGCTGGGTGAAGCGTGATGATGACGTACCGGAGAGGTGAATAGAGGACATTGAAGCGGCGCAAACAGGTGAAAATGGATGGCGAGACGGGGGAAAAAAAAGAGAAACTCAGACAACCTACCAGCTATCCGTGACACACCTAGCAGTGCCCTCCCAGTAGGCAGCGCCGCGTTTCTCGTCAACAGCGCCCTCGACATGGTGCCGGAATTATTACGACGATTGATGAAAAATCAAGGAAAATAGAAAAGAGAAGATAGAAGAAATAAAACGTAATATAGTAGAGCACCGATGGAGGGCGCGAGTGTCGCTGGAGCGCTACCAGCTGTTAGAAAGGATTGTGGATGGATGGATGGATTTTGTTGGCTTGAGAACGTTCGTTCCTCGTGGCTTTTCCCCCAAGTACTTTACTTTGGCCGCCGCACCCTTTATCTTCTAAACTACAGTACGTGCTAGGTACCAATACAGGCTTACATAGTCCTAAAAATCACCGCCAAATGGATACCGGGCAGACACGCAAAACAGAGACAATTCCTGCGTAAAGCTGATATGGTAATTTCTTTTCCCTCCTTCACCGGTGATAATGCTCGCGCCGCTGGTGACGGGATGGACCCCGAGCTGCAGGCCTAGCTCTGAATATGGCAGGATTCGGGGCACGGGTCAGCCGCTATCGGCGCGAGGCTCCATAACGTTATAATTTCGAGCTCCCGGTCGGTCTCTGCAGGGGGTTGAAGGATCCATTCTTACATAAGAAATCCCACAGCCCAAGTTGTCGGAATTCGGCGGTATTTTAACCCGGATGCACCATCCCGCTATTGCTAGGGATTTACGATGCTATCGCGAGGGACCCATCGAACGACATCTTTCGAGCGCTGGAGATATCGACACAATGGCCAAGAAAGGTGAGCTCCTCACTCAATGCGCAGTGGAACTTCTGATTCTGTGCGCAATAAGCAATAAACAACCGCTAACATCCTCGCAGCAAAGGCAAGATTGATCAACGTCCGGCTCATCTCCATGGCCATGACCGGCTTCTTCTACACCTTCAAGCGGCCCAGAACGGCGCCCATGATGGGCATGCTGAAATACGACCCGATAGGTACGAACCATCCTCCGTCAGATGCGCATCTTCTTTCCCCCACGCCAATGCTGATTCCCTATCGCTCTTTAGTCCGCAAAAAGGTCTTGTTCCTCGAAACGAAAAAGCGATCCAAATAAAGATATTTCTGAGCAATGTAAAATTCAAACTATACACCTCAGGGGCGGGAAAATAATGATTGGGTTGCGGGTCGTCTGGTTATTCGAACCTGCGGCCACCTATTGTACATGTATCAATATGAAGAGCATTTCTGGAGTTTGGGGATGGGCTGGCATTGCGCTCGATGCGCTGACAGGTCACGATATCTGGTCTGATTGGAATAAAAATTCACTCCCAAATATTTCCACGTTTGATCATTTCCCCATTCTAGCTGTGGAACAGTGAGTTGCTACCAAAATAAAGCGCCCGCCTTCAAATTACAAGCTCCTTCCACCTATAGGAGGAGTACACATAGGCATCTGCGGACCAACCATCCTCCGTGCTTCCTCCCTGAACTTTATTCCTCGATATAGTGCTCAGTTCTGGGCTTCTTAACCTCTCGGGAAGTGGCTTCAAGAGATTCTAAAGACACTAGGTTGCCCTGAGGTGCTTGTCTTTTCTTGCTGGATAGTTGAATGTCCCTCTCGAAATCGGCAACGGTTGGAAAGGTCCAGGTGTGGTTGTGCTGAATCAACCTCGAGCGGATTTCAGCAACCATCTCCTTGGCCGAAGCAGATTGAGACTTGTTGAGAGAGCCGTTCGTGGCCTGACTGGCTTTGCTATGGTTAGTCTGTGGTCGAGCGGGATGTCCTTCCAAGCTGCTTGGTTCGATTGTGTCGGGGAGGGCGTGGCTTTTGAGAATCGACTTGAGTTGAGTGACTTCACGACGACGCTTTTGCTCTTGCATCACGGTTAGTGGAGGTGACGGCGATCTCTCACCTGGATCAGGACTGTGAACTGTGACCTTGCGGCTCATAGCATCTTCCTTGATCGATGGCTGAGTTTCTGCCGCGCCGTTGGTTTCGGCCGAGAGAGGCAATGGTGTCGTATTAACTTCGCAGGATGTCACTACTTCCGAGACAGCTGGATTCGGCATTCTGTCTGTAATCTCTAGCTGAACCCACTCCTCTTCCGTTGCCAGGTAGCTGGCTGATGATTGTATGGATCCACTGATCTCCATGACTCTGTCCAGCTTTTTGTCGCAGTCTTCGACCTCCGATACTCGCATCGCGACGGCCTTGAGCTGTGATCGCATCTTGTCAATTGTTTGAATATCCTTGAGCCATCCATTTCGGAGAATTTCAGCTTCTTCAGCTTTCTGCTCAAATGCTTGGATTTTGTTTCTTAGTTGAGCAGTCATCTCCCGCTCGTTTTCCAATGTCGCTTGTAACTCGGAAGTTTTGTCGTCAGTCTGAGTCGTGATATGCTTCTGTTCGCCGATATGGGTTGTTAAAACATTCAAAACATTCTCATTGGCTTGAAGCAATTGCGCCATCTTCTCTCTCTCCTGCCCAAGCCCCTGTCCCAAAGTGGCTCGAAGATTGGCAATGGCGTTGTTCAACGGCTTTATGGTGTCCTCCCCGTTTTTCATTGCTTCAGATACCATTGCTTCCACCTTTTTGGCGAGCTGTTCATACGCATGTTGACGCTGTCGATCCGTTTCGTTGGACTTATTCTCGTGCGCTGACATCTGCTGCAAGATACCTTGTAGCATATTGATTGTCTCGCGCTGATTGCTTTGTCCGTTGCCTGCGAGGACGTCAAATTTCTGGCCAATGTTTTCACAAGAGCCCACTGCATTCTTCAAACTGCAGTCAAAGTTCTGAATATGGTCTGACAGCTCTCGAAATCTTGCGCTGGTCCCTTTTTCGTCTTGTTCCAATGCCTTCACAATCCGGCTTGCCTCCCCTTTGAAGCGGTCGAGATCTTGCCCAACTGATCCCCCTAACTGTGAAATTGCTTCTGAAACGTTGCTTTGCCCACTCTCCAGTGAAGAAATTGCCGGCAATAAGCTACTGTTGTGTAAGCCATGAAAAGACCGTTGGATTTACATAATCCTCACCTCTTGCCAATGTTCTTTTCGGCGATAGCCAGCTTGAGCTCAAGATCCTCTTGCGAAAGCATCTTGGACGCGAGCTGATTTCCACCTGTGAGCAGAGAATCCAACCTGTCAAAATGTCAGAAGGAATGGATTTGCAGAATAAAAGTGAGAGCCAAGTACTTCGAATTCAGCGCGCTCATCATTTGCGTACTCGACCTAGCATCGAATTCACGTTGTTCGCTTTGGAAGTCATGATGTGCTATCAATGAATCCACCTTGGCCTTCAACGCCCAAACGCACTGATGTACTGAGTCTTGCTCTTTTGTTTGAGCACTCAGTTTGTCGGCAAATGTTTTCTCCTGGGCCCATAAAGCTTCTTGGAGGTTCAGCTTTTCCTTAAGCTCTGATATGACCTGGTCCTCTGTTGCCTGATCAGTTAAACATCACGATGGCATTCACAGCCGATGTCTTACTCTTTTGAACATCTTTTTGCATTTGCATGCGGTACTCGTCCATGCATTTCTTCATCTCCTCGCGGATCTTGAGGCTGTTTTTCAAAGCTTCATCGACTGCATCCGAGGATGCCGTTTTGCGTTCGTTCTCTTTTTGCAGCTGGTCCATCGTGTCTTTATAATACGTTTCCGCACGCCGAAAGAGAACTCCTTGCTCCCCGATGGTCTCATTGAGCTTACGTCGGTAGGAGTCATATTTATCTTTAGCAAGCTTCCCTTGCTTCTTCTCTTCCGACAATTGCTCCTTCACGGACGTGAGTTCAGAAGCCAACCCCTCTTTCTCTTCGGCCACTTTGTTATTATTCTCGAGCAGCGCGTTGTAACGCTTTTGAGCGTCAGACAACTGTGTGCTCTTCTCTTCCAGTGACCTTCCTATATCTCCAAGCTTCTCCCGTTCACCTTGAAGAATCTTTTCAAGCTTCCCGAGCTTTGACCTAGCCGCCTCAGTTTCTTCTTCTGCAAGTTGGATACACTGATTCCAAAAATGAGTAATATGTTGAATTGCCCTTTGATCGCGACTCTGTTTTGACTTTGGGGATGATTTGTGAACGCGCGACCGTTTCTTGGAGATGTTGCTGCTTGTGGTGGAACCGGACCGCTGGTGGGATGGCCGTTCATGTGTGTCGCGAGAGAGAACAACAATTGGTCTGTGTTCATAATTTTTGGGATGTTTGTGCCGCGATTCCATCGGACTGCGGTATGTAGGAAGTTCCAGATCGCCACAAATGCTTGGGGTGTGCTGGCGTTGTGCATTTCGGCTCTTTGTGTTATTGCTTCCCTTCATTCTCGGCGCAGTGGATGGGTCATCTTGTCCACGAGTGACCACATTGTGACCAATGGATTTGAATAGGTTGTTATCATCATTCCTTTGTGTTGGCGGCGAAGATGCAAGCTTTGGTGGCGACATTAGTCTGGTGGTCTTGTCCGTCTCGTGGCTCTGAGAGTCAGGCAAGACTTTGGGCTTGGTAATACGAGGAGACATGAACAAGATCGACTTCTGCACTTTGTTAGATATGGCCTTGTTATTCAGAAGAGTGAGTCATCCAAAAGAAGAATTGCTGAGCCCGCGCCATCTTACATTTTTGTCTGGTTGAGAGACCTCTGCTTCACCTCCATGCGTATGGACAACCTCTGCGTCTATTGGGTTTCCTGAGAGACATATCTCTGGCAAGTCCAAGGGTGAAGCTCTGGTGATTGAATCCATGATTCTGTCCTTTGGTGGAGAACCAGATAGAGTTAATTTTGGCTTTGGAGGCGGAGGACTCGGGGGCTTTGGAAACAGACTGTGCCGTTGAGTATTGGTGAATTGGCCGGGGCGAGGTAGATCTCTGGGCGGAAAGGTAAAGCCCTCTGACAACACTGCCTCAGAGATTGCTTGCTTGCTGTCAAGTGTACGACGGTCATCTCTTATTTTTGGAGAGGACAGTTCTGGAATCATGGGGAATGGGTTGCCGATGCCGGTGTCGTTGATTGCCCATCCAAAGTCAGATAGACTCTCGATGGGAGCTGGGCCACCAAATCCAGCACCAGTATTTGGAGGCGTTAAGTTGACACCTATTTGAGAAGGCATCTTTGCGTATGCGTAGTGTGAGATCGTAGAATGTGATGACTCGCTTCTGTCGTTGTTGGGTGAAAGCAATGAGTATGCGCATGTCGATTTTTCACTACCATGTACGGGAACAGCTTTGAGGAGTTGTTGTAATTAAGTTTGGCAAGAGAATTGTGGGATGTGCAGAATGAAGGCGGTCAATCTGCAGCAAGCGAGCTCGTCTAGATAATAGCTGTGGAAAGAGGCTTGATGCTCCTTCCAGCACTACTCCTAGAGACTCAACGTCAATATCTACTACCAGGTACTAAGTTAGCTTGGAAGAAATTGATAGGTAGTAGCACAAAAGGCCGATAATGATGTAACCCAATTCAATTTCCTAATGGATGTCTCATCATTATTCTATCAACATAACTAAGTTCATCTGTGGTCTTTGAGGCCAAGTAACAATCCGCCAGCTGCTGGGCTGGGTATTAAGGTAATGAAGCCAAAGTGCACGCCAAACTTGGCTACCAGCATCCCGTATCTCAAGCTTGACTGTGATACTAGAAATAGCAAATACTAGAAAATTGTAGAGATAGCGGCAGATACAAGAAAGAGCAGCGATAGTAGCTAGTAGATACAATTACCTAGATTAAAGATGCACAGCTTTTCATCTCTTTGATGCTATTAATATAATACTCTTCGCCAACTAGCGACGGCTACCAGCCGTTCCCTTGAATTAACGGATAATTAAAGATACACATAAATAGAAACCACATTGTATTTGCGTGGCAATTGTCTCTTACCATCACAACACAATGATTGAAACACATCAGCCGTCGTGGATACCCTCAAAATGCCCTGGGCGCCTTGTCTCACAATCTTGAGACACTGCGAGTAATGACATACAAGTGTCCGCCTCGCATATCCTCATGGCAGTTAGAAACCACGCTTCTTCCATCCAATCCTTCACTCCCGCATCAAACAAAGCTTCAACGTCTCAGGCCCCTACATTACCGAACCCGCAATGCAAATGGCCGACTCCCAGGCTGCGTGGACCTGCCCCTCCAAAATCGGAAATCCCATCGTCAATCACCAATATCACAGTGATGCGCTTCAGGCCTTCTCAAATCGCATTAAGCGCGATGCACCAGCTCCTCCCCCAGTCACAAAAATAGGATCATTTTAGTCTCACGTCGTCACGGAGCCGTCACAGACAGAATCTGCGGGCGCGCAGTGATGCTTTAGCTGTTTGGCTCGCCTGAAGTGATGCACAGGATGATAAAGTCGCATCCTGTACACCTCATTGGCCGAGGCCCCTGCAGGTGCCGTTGGCGTCGGCGCTTGTTGGGTGAGACGAGGCCAATCATGAGGGCGCACCGCCGACGGTCGGTCATATCCAGGCACAGGCATCACAAAGAAAACTAGCGAAACGGGGCCGATGAGGATGCCCAGGGCGTTTACTGATACATGGGCCTTGGCCGGCATTTGTATGCAGGCACTTGTCGCGGGCAGAAATGGAGAGGAGGCGAGGGACAAAGAAAAGGGCTTGTTGCAATAAAGGGTGGGCTATGGCGCAGTTATTTCCGATCCGGCGGTTGAGTCTTTGGATGTTGTGATTTTATTCTTATTCTGCTGACTGCCTGCTGTGCTTGGAGATATCTCGTACGATATTTCGACTCCTCAGACAAGCCGCCTGGCTGTGGACTGATATCTGTTACTAAATACATACGCATACGAGCAAAGACGCCGAAACCCAATCGAAGCATACCGCCATGTCGCAGACTTCTGCGTATTTCCCTCTGGCCACGGACGATTCGTGGCAGGGCCAATCCGGCAGCATCACTGCGCAAGACGGAACCGACGCCGGTGCCGCGGGCGACAGCTCTGCCAATTCCATTACCCTCTCGACCGGAGCCCTGATTGCCATCATCATCGTTGTTGTGGTTGTTATCCTGATCGGCAGTAAGCAAAATCCGCAGTCCCTTAGCATGACTTATTTCCTAGCAGGCTGACACCTTTTAGTAACAACCGCTACCCTCTTCTTCATTGCCAAGAAACGTGAATGGACCATCAAGGAGACCATTAGAAGATCAACGAAAAAGGTTGCAACCGCTCTTACTCCAAGGCGATCTGAATTCCCCCGCTCTGTCAAAGGCTCAACACGCTCCAACCGACGTGGACGAACCAAGCTCGACGAAGTGCCTCCAACCCCTCGACTTCGACCTGAAGATTTGGAAAAAGGCTTGGCTCGCAGCGAGAGCAAATCCATCCCACAAAAGACTGGCGGAAAGTAACCATGACGAATTGGTGCGTGGATGTGGGTGCGAATGGGTAGTAGAGGCGTCAAGGCATTGATTGGGAACGACTAATGGCGAGTTTTTGCTTTTGTGTGCTTTTTATGGATGAAATTATGATATCGCTCATGGGTGTCCGAATGTATATACATATATCCTTTTGCTTTTCTGTTTTTGGTATTTCAAATGTTTATGGGTATCACATCTTTCTAAATGTGTTTGAGCTGGCGCTTCGCCTGCCCTTGTTGGAACGCCTTTGCGGAGGAGGCGCCTCTTCCTCTTCCTCTTGCTGTTGCTTCTTCTTCCTTGACTCTGGCACAAATGTGACTTGTCTCTCTCCACGAATCTCGCCGCCCTGTGATTTGTTGACGCGTGTAGACTTCTGCTGTCTTGAGCCCAGTGCGGAATCCTTTAGTTGTCGGCCTTCGTTTTGCGTTGATGATACCTTCATCACCACGTCATCTTTAGGCTTAGAGATGGGCTCATCATCGCTAGACTCTTCATCAGAGTCCTTGCCTTGGTATTTAGTCGTTCCATGCTTGGCCTCCAGCGCTTGCTGAACTGCTGTGCTGGGGTTGAGAGCCTTGAATTCACCACTGGCTTCATCCACTACAAAGTCTTCGTCTTCGAACAGCTTGCTGAATCGTGTGTCTCCCAAAAGACCGGCATCAGTATCAACCTCGCTTCTGTTCTCCTGCCTCTTGAGGAGTTTGTCGACAAGTCGCTGGTTGACCTTGACCTTCTTCGTGCCTCTGATGCGGCTAGAACGCTCCTTCTCAACCCTCTCCTTGACGCGCTTCTGTCTCTCGTCCTCGAATGCGTAAGGGTTCGCGATGAGTCTGGCTTGCTCGTACAGCTTGGACGCCACAAAGTATCCGTGCATATACGGTCGCAGCAGGTTGGTTTTCCCAATCAAGTGTGCTAGACTGAGCTGCTTCAGCTCCGGCAGCGTCAAGAACTTGTAGTTGTCGTAAGTCTCGGTGCGGACTTCTTCCGCCATCTCTTCCACCATATTGTCCAAGAAGGAGCACCATTTGGGAGCGGCGCCGAGCTGTGGAATGAAGAATGCGTGCTGCTGCTTGCCTTCGTTTGCCGTCAGCAGCATGCCAGTATTCTTGCACCAAGCCACGTCGTTGATGTCAACCACAGGCTCAACCGATGTCCATGGGTCTCCCGTCAACTCATCCCAGATTTTAATGATGCGCTTGTCGGCCGACAGAACCTTCTTCTCTTGTGAGGCCGTTGTCATGTGAATCAACTTCTTCACGGCGAAGCCATAGCCGTGATCCTTCTTGAGTAAGGGAGTAGGGCGACGGAGATCGAATAGCTGAATCATGCCAGTTGAGCTGCCAGTCGCCAGCGATAGACCGGACGAGTGGAAGTCCAGTGCTGTGACGCCGCCGTCGTGACCGGCAAGCAGCGCGACTCGTGACCTTGACCGGGGATCCCAAAACTCTACTGTGCCTATTGATGTACCAAATGCAAGCAGGTTGTGGGTATCCTCGGCGATGGCAGCGCAGTTGACGCTGCCAACGTTGATGCCGCCCTGTAGACCGCCGCCCAGCTCATCATCTTCTCCAACTTCAACCTGATAAGACTTCATAAACCTTCCAAGCTCAAGGTTCATGCGGAAAACCTCTCCCTTGCCGTCAGCGTCGATTCCAACAGCAGGAATGAGGGCCTCGGTGGATTGCCGATCGTATACAAGATCTCGACCGTATCTGGGAATGCGCGCCTCATAGTGGCAGCCCATGGGGGTGTGGAATTCGAGTTTTCGATCATTCTGGAGGTGTAGGGATTTTGAGTAGTCGGTAGAAAGCAGGACAAAAGTCTCGTTGAGCGACGTCGTGTGCCGTGTGAAAGAGAGAGAGAGTTGTGGAAGGTTGTGTACATGCAGCTGAGGCTTGTAGGTACCTGTGCTCATGACCCAATCGCCATCCTCACTGATTCGGACACACTGACTAGCCTCTTCAAACTCAAAGTCTTGCAGAAGCTCGACGCGATTCTGGTACTCGACATCGTTCTTCAGACTGCGCTTCCGACGGCGAGCCAGCCAATCTGGAAGAGGACGCGCGGTAGATGCGCCCGAAATTGTATAGACGGGGACGGTCCCCGGATTGGAGAGCTTCATGGCGGATGCAGAGTATCAGGTTCAGGGCTCCCTCGTTGGGATTTCGGCTGAAAATATCTGCAGTCGCAAAGGCAGAGACAAAAGATGCCAATGCCAGACAATTTTGCGGGCTATCAGAAAAATCAAGGTGAAGAAAAATTCCAGCCCCACATCGGTGACCGGTGAGCCGCCCCCACACAATCACTACCTTATGCTTTGTATGGATTCGCCTGACCGAGCGCTGGCCAGCCAATCGCCGCCACGCGCTGGATCCAGCACGCTTCGGACTCCCTGGAGACAGTCTGAGCCCTGTCAGTTCCGCGATGCGGTGCATTTTCAACGTTGCTTGATCATCATCTCCTCTTTTGCTCGACTGCCCCCATGGCCTGAGGCTGCACATGCTGGCAATACTAGGCATGTGGCTGATGTGCTCCTAAAGACTCTGCCTTCCCCCTAATCCCCGCGCTTCGGACGCCTCGTGACTCTATAACCGGTTCCTCGAGCTCGCGCCTATCGGGGCGACGCTCCTCGACAACCGCATCGATCGGCGAATACCCTCGTTGAGATGGAGCTCGGGCAGCACAGAGCATCAGAATCGCTTATCCTCCTAATCAGGGCTTCTTGAACTTGACCAGCACAGCTCTTGTGCCCGGCCCTCGGTCCGACCGTTTGCGCGAGACACCCCAGGACGCCGTGGCTTCGTGTCGACGACGGCAAACTGCGCTGTCACCGGCTGCCACGAGCCGATTACCTTACACGCAGTCGATATGGATACTGGGGAATATGAAACTAATACATTGTTAATTGTGAGCATGGCCCCTCCCTTGATGGTTATCCCCTCTTCGGCTGACCCCGGGTCCTAGAATAATGTCTCGTCGATCGCTTATCGTTTGTACGAACCGTCATCCAATCTGTCGCAAAACTTCGCCTCGGTCGCTCTTGAGATTGAAAACTCACTAAGGGAAAAGGGACACATCGTTTTATACGATGCAACCAAAAAGGCTCTGTGGCACTTCCAATTTATCCCCAAAGATGAAAATTCGGATGATTTGGGCGACAGCCTCGAGCTGCCGCCCGATGTGGCCGGGCATGGCCTGGTTTTGAGAGAACACGGTGTTATAGAGCCTCCGATAATACAAAAGCCTCGTTCTCAGGGCCTTCAATCTAGTGGCACGCCCACGAGCCTCCTGTCAACTGCTTCTGCTTTAGAACAAGCCCACCGTCCTGCTCTCTCATCACCTTTGCAGACCACTGCACCCATCACGCAAGACCCAGACCCAAGGGCCGAAAAATCCAAGGCCACATCGACAGCACAGAGAGCACTCTACGAAAAATTCATTGCGTCTATCTTGTTGACGATATCTACCACATTCTGTCGCCGAGTTGGGGCAGTTCCTCTCAACTACAGGACTGTAATACTCTCTCCGACGGCATACAATGCACAACCACACGGAGTTGCCATCGGAAGACCACAGATACTAGGCACTTTTAGGGCGTATTTGACGACAACGGGAGCATTGATGATAAGCCTGGCTCTGACGAAGTGTAGAGGGATATTGTCACTAGATGACGCTGTTCCCTCGAGTCTGGCCCCCTCTGGCTATTCTGTTCTTGCTGCCCCCTTTGGCATCATGACTGCTACGCAAAATTTTGTTCCTGGCGATGGCGGCGTGGCGAGTTTAGCTCAGACACCCATGACCCAATTCTTTAATTTTCGTGGTGGACTTGACGGACAAGAGTCGTTGTGGAAACAGGCTTGCCTACGATTCTTAAATTTCCGGGGCATAGCTGCCTCTACGCTAGGGGGCTGTCTCTGGGTGAATCTCTTGGTCCCCAAGCCGAAGAACCCAGATACCAGGGGCGACCAGCGATCCTCTAGCGCAAGCTCTTCATTCACGCTGCCATGGCCAAGGCGTCTATGCTTCCGCAAGAAGAACGTCGACGCATCTTCTACCAGCCGCGTGGTAGACACTGTACTGAGCGGCCATGAAGAAAGTCATGATCCACTGGGAAATGTCAAGGGATGGCATGCCTCTGTTACGGAAAGAGAAGAGAAAGTCAAACGAGCCATGGAGCGTGCCGCCAATGTCCCCAAGGATCCTCAACCACAAAGCGCGGAGTCAAAGACACCCAAACCCAGCGGCCTGTCACCCGTGGCCTTGCAGCGTCCCAGTACGGCCACGGCTGGTATCATGTACCCGACGCCACCAGATGGAGTTCACCAGCCCAATGGCGTGACTCCGTCCATTGATGGCACTCTTTCCAGTCCAGGTAACCCATTATCCGCTCCGGTCATCACGGAAGCGGATGCTGTTCAAAATGAACCAACTGGAGGAGACAGCGTCGACCAGTCGCCCGAGTTTGCAGATTCCAAGAGACACCGGAGCGGCAGTAATGTTCCTGGTGACGGCGAGACCGTCTTTGGGGGTGATATAGGAGGAGATATGTTTGACGACAATGACATTACCGAGGCCGATTTTAACTTTTTTGACGAGAAGCCAGGCGACATGGATGCCGATCTTCCAATGGCTGATATATCTAGCTCAGAAATGGCACTCCCCCCACCGCCCCAAGCCGTTGAAGAGACTGTAATTCCCGTCGATACCACGCCACTCCCTCTGGAGCCAACGCCTACATCGTTGCCTCTTCATCCTCCTGCCACCTCCTCGGCCCCAACTCCGGCCCAGGCCGCAACTCCCGTTCCCGCCCCTATTCCTTCTCTACCGCCACCAACTTCTACTCCTCTCCTTGCTCCTCCACTACCTCCTCCTCAGTCGGAGAGAGTAGTGTTTGCCAAACCCGAGCTGAAGCATGCGAGAAGCCAGAATGAAGACCCAGCCCGTCGCAGCCGGGGGGAGATACGGGTAACGCCTGCAAAGCGCGAATCTAGTCCTTTCGACCCCCACGCGGTGTTTAAGCGTGTGAAGGCATCTCTTAAAATGCCAAGATATGATTCCACCACATCTTCTCAGCCCACATGGAGAAAGGCCAAGATCTTTGAGAGCCTCGACTTCGACCCAGCGTTGCCTATGATTAATAAAAAATACGAGCAAGGGGGGCTCTTCGACCTGAGTGCTCTTTCAAAGGTGGAAAAGATGGAAAGGCCAAGCATTGATCTTCGGACCGTGCCCGAAACTGACTATCTGAAACGGCATGGCAAGCTCAGCAAGAAGCCAAGGGATCGACCCGTTACCCGAAGCACCATGGCCAAGCAATATTCCGCACTGGAGCCGCAAACGTTGACGACCAGCCCAATGAAACTGGACGGATCAATCTCAGGGGAGGACAGCAGCGCTGAATCGGACCAAGACGACTCCAGCTACACGTCGGACGAGCCTGGCTCTCCGCACAAGGCCAGCATCAGATTGATCAACGCAGACGACGATATCATGTCTCAAATCACCTCGCTAAGAGATTGCGATATTGAAGAGCCCGATCATCAGCTGGCCATGGAGCTACCGCGGCTATCCAAGTCTGACATGAACGGAGTGCCCCTCTCTGCGCTGTTCTCGGATCCAGAGCCCTTGTTGTTGGATATGGCCTTGAATGACGACGATTTGATCCAGATTGCGCAGATTGTGACCGAACAAGCAGCAACTGGTGGGCTGGATATCTTTAGAGCCTCGGATTTCGAAGCAGCCACCTTGTCGGCCAGCCAAAAGCGCCAAGAACTATTAACCCACAGTCGGGACGCCTTTCATACACTGGAAGATATCATTGCGCAGTTTTTTGGAGACACCATGCCTATGCGCTTGAAAGGCTTGTTGGATATTCAAGACGTACCGCTTCTGAGCCAGTTCCAGCCGCGGCAGATGCCCGGCCGAGAAGGAAACCCCGAAGCTCTGCGGCCAAGCAACCTATATCAGATTCCTAGCCCACATTTGGAAGTTCAAAGGGCAGACACGAAGCTCTCTGTTCTGCCGTCGGCGGTTTCATTCTGGGAGAGCTTGGGCCTCTCTCCTTCCTCTGGCAGTAAAAACCTCAATGCAATTTGCGTCTATCCTGGATGGCCTGGGATGGGAGACAACGTCAAGACCTTTCTTGACCGCATCAAAAGTGTGTATGAGTTTTTGAAGCTGGGCACGTTTGAAGTCATGCCTCTTGGTGCGGATATGGAAGCAGGGCTTTTGCCATATGAGATTGATAGGATTACCACTTCTCCCGACGCCACTGTGACGGGACATGGATCGGCCATGATTGAAAGTATGGAAGTGCTGCGCGGGATATTCACCAACCTCGCAATTACCGAGACAAACTTTGTTATTTACTTCGTCTACTCGCCGGACAATCCCGGGACCATTATCGAATCTTGCACGGCGTTTCAGCGATTCTTTGAAACGTACCAAAAGATTTTGGCAACCCGAAAGGAGCCTCCTCAGAATGAACTAGTTTTGCAGCTGGTATCGGCAGATCTTCTGTCTTCCCCCTCGGCCTTGGTCGTCACTCCGACTTCAGACCTAGTCAGACTCTGCATCGAGACCTACGATCGCTGTACTCTCTTTGGGGGACCAATGCCTGCTCCGGCCATTAGACTCGAGCAACTCTTACCACGGATCATTGATTTCAAGCTGACTACTAATCCGTCAGCATCGCTCATCCGCGAGAACTCTTGCATTCATGTGGCATACGCCCAGAGCGTCGACGAGCGGTGGATTACAGCTGCTTGGACGGACGATAGGGGAAACCAGCAAGCAACGGCTTCTTATTGCATGGGGAGAAAGGGGAAGCAGCCGTCTCGCAACATGAACGAGATTGCCAATGAGATATGGGAGACTACGCTTGAATTGATCTCTGCGTGGAAAGTCCTTTGGAGAGTCATCATCACCAAGTGCGGGCCAATGCCGCAGCACGAGATGGACTTTTGGGTTGACTTGGCCCGCACCGAGATCAACGCCAAGGTAACGGTGGCTTTGCTCACGGTCGATACGAACCCATCGCTTCAGCTTTTACCGCCGGTGGTGAAGCTCGCGCCGCCTTCGGCTGCCCTTCACACGCCAGCATCTACGCCACTACCAAGCGCGTTTTCTCCAGAGCCGCCAACCCCTGCGACTCCCGCCCGCGAAGGCATGGCAGTCGCTACTCCCTCTGGCGATGGCGGCACTTCTAATGCTGGCGCTGCCGATGCGGATCTAGATGCCATTTTGACCGATGTCACCGATCAGACCTGGGGAGCTATTGCCGGCCACCGGCTCAGCAACTCCACGAGCATTCTGGAAGTACACCCTGCGTTGATCAGTGGCTATCTCATCAAGCGGACAGGAATCAAAGTGGAAGATGCCCCTATCGTGATGGAGGTGAATCTGGTGTACACGGAAGCCATGCCGCGAGTGCACGAACCCCTTTTCAGAGAAATGTTGGGATACTTTAGAGGGCTAGGCACTCTGGCCCGGGCCCGTGGAGTGGTTGATAGGGAAGCAGATGTGCGACCCTGGCATGTCGCGGCGGCCGAAAAAGCCGCGCGCGCATTGTATCTGTTAATGTGATTATTTGCTTTATTTTTCCTTTGTTTGAGGAGAAGGGGGCGGTGGCGTGGCTGAAGGGGGGGAATTCCATTTTTTGGTGATACCTTTGCAACGAGACACGTTGGAAAACCATACTATTAGGCGTTTTTTTTATTGTTGGCGTTGGAAATGGTTTGGCCGAGGTTGTTGTGCATTTCCGATCCAAGAGTGATAGAAGGGGGGGTGAGGGAAGCAAAACCACCAATGTGGATTTTCTTTTCAGCATATGCATAAGTACGGGTTGGCGATGATGATTATGGGTTTGTAGATAGGTTTTGATATATAGTATAGCTGGGGGTTATGAGACTTGGGGTACATACATAATTTGCTTTGTGTGTGAGAGTGAAGCATGGTGAGATGTGTGGCAAGTTGTGTGATGTGTGTGGACGCTGGATAGAAAGAAGCAATAGTGGGAATATTGCATCGTGAAGAATCACTTTAGACTTCTAGATGCTACCTATACAACGTGATATAAACCTAACAACTACATCTGTATTTTGGCCTGCTCAGGCATGTATTTGATATCTACGCCGTATGATTCTGGTGTCTTTGATTTAGGCAGTACATTGTGCTTACTGAGGCGACCCGACCCGCTAGAGGCATATACAGGTACCTCCAATCTACGCCTTGCAGGCAGCCTCTCCTCTGACTTAAGTCATGCATCTCTCCTCCTCATGACTCCCTCCCTCCCTCTCTGAACCAGTCATAATGGAGGCTTTGGCTTAAGAATCTGCTTACCCTGGCGAGAATAGAAGCCTGGGCGTGAGTCAGACTGTGGCTGCCACGTTTTGGATACATTTTGTTGCGCCACCGTTCAAGTCTTGGTAAGTTTTAGTGGATGAATCATCATCGCTGCAAGGGCTGTAAAATGCGTCCATGAGGCAATGGAAATTGAACTTGAAGCTGATTAACGAGTGGACGACCATGAAGATGCAGTAGATGATCATTACGCGGCATATTCCTTCTTCTTCTTTATTTATTTTCTGCTTTTCTGCATTTACAATTTACAACAGATATAGACCTTTCTATGAGACTGCCTGAACAGTAATCATAATGGACGTGGCATCGCTGGGAAGTCTCCCAGACGATCTCATTCTCGACATTGTCCAGCATCTGGACACGGCCCGCGATGTGGCTCATCTGGCCAGCGCATCGCGACATGCCCATGCCGTCATCAACCAGAGCGGGTGGCGCAGCTTCGTGAGGGCCAAGTTCCCTTCCATCAACATCCCCTTGGGGGCTTTGACGGGCTGGAATGCCGTGGCAGACCGCTTGACGTATCTCGACCGGTGCTGGGACAGTCGTGGGTTCTATCTGACGGTGTACGGAGAGAAGCCTCCGGCGCGGACCAAGAGGAGGGAGTTTCCCAGGAGCAGACAGTCTGTCAACTTTCACTCCGTCATTGATGCTACGACGCTCGTGGCTACGCAGGAGGAGCTGCTGGCGTGTGGCGCTGGAGAGAACTTGATTCTTCGACGAAAGGGCGTGAGCGGCAAGGGCCCGGATAGCTGGAGCAAGTTGGGAGGCCGCGAGGCTGGATATGCAGCTGGGACGGGAGATGTGACGGCAATCAGCCTCATCCAGCGCCAGCAGCTCCCGGAGGTGGTTGTTGGAAGGGCTGACGGAAGCCTTCAGCTCTTGTCTGTCGGAGATGAGACGCTGTCGGATGCTTCTCAGAGGTTTCTTCCCTCACACGATGCTAATAATCCATCTGGAGTGCCTCTAAGCCGAAGGTCTCCTGGGCAGAGGGCGATTTCATGGACCGAGTGGGAGTCCGATGCCAAGTTGCTGGCAAGCTGCAGGAGCTCCGTCTTGACGCTTTACAACCTTTCCGATGCCGAAGAGGCAACTCTGAAACCTGTTCTCTACTACGACGTTGCTAAGGATGGCTCTGTCGACGAGGTTTCGCTTCTGCGCAGCGCCAAGTTCATGGCCAACGATGTGATTGCTTGTAGCATTGGTGGTAGCACTGAGCCTTTGAGATGGGCCAAGATGAGGCCCAGTGGAATCGAGTTTTTCAACGCAGCAATGAGTTCCAGGGTTAGTGGCGGTGCTTCGGCGGATTCCAAGAGGTCGGCTGAGAAGACGACGGTTCGTGCTATTCAGCCGGTTACAAGGATGAATGATAATCTGCTGCTCAGCGCCTGGGACGACGGAAGCCATAGGTAAGATGAGAGGTGGCAATCCAAAGCTAGAGTCACTTTTCAAGCAGCTAACTCAAGTATGTGATGCTAGGCTGTCAGATTTACGAACTCCTTCAGCCCACGATGTTCTATATCGTGATGGCTTCCAGCCGTATCAGGCTAGTAGTTCATTGCTAGTATATGGATCTGAGCGATTTGTAGCTGGCAACAACTGCAGCCCTGACCTCCGATTCTTCGACTTTCGTTTCCCGAAGCCGTATCATCACACTAATGCCATGCCTTGTTCCGGAAACACACCTCTCCCTGGACGACCCCATCAGTACGGGGCCATCAATGAAGTCGATGGACTTCAGATCAAACCGGTCGAAGAGTGCGATTCCTCGTCTGGTCGATCGTGCACATGGCACCATCTATCACGACAAGATAGCTGGCGGCCAGACGCAGTCATGCACATCTACAGCACATCTATGGACCGAGTCCATTCCTTGGCCAAAGCATCCGACCTGTCGACGTCGTTCTACTGCGGCGTTAGGGGAGCTGTCGTAGAGGCGACGTATTCCCTAGCTGAAGACGTAGACTTGGTAGTCTCTCGTAGGTCATCGCCGGAAGGATGGCAAGCCATCGACCCCGAGGGAAGAGCGTCGTTGATAGAGACGGGTGTTGGCCTCCGTGATGGAGAGGCACAGCTGGAGGAGCAGACGCAGACGAGGATGCCGGAGCTTTATTACTATGAGCGGTGGAGGATTCCGGAGGGGGAGACGGAGTATAAGAGGGAGCAAGGGAGGCGTTTGGATCCGGCGTTGGTGACTAGCCGAAGGAGCAGAGGATGAGCTTTATGATGACGTGGCCTTGGTAATGTCTGTGGCACGGCGAATGATTTGAGGAGATTTGGTGTTGACGATGACTTGGCTGATGGGAAAGTTGGTTTGTTGTCTGTGAATGGATCATATAGATGGGCCATACACGGTTCTTGAAGTTGTTTGGATAAAGAAAGCATATGGGACGTCACGACGAATGGAATTATATAGGACTGGAAATGATTTCTTTGATGATTTCTTCTAAACTACTTCTAGTATCGCTACTCTCTTCTAGTATCGTATCGCAACTTTCTTCTAGTATCACTACCTGTTTCTACGTATTATACAATGGCTACGGCTCAAAGCGACATCATCTAAACAAAACTGAACCGGATTCTAACCAGCCGCCAGAGCTCTCGGGTGACCTATACCTACCTAGTTGTAATGATGAACGTATGGGCAAATGCTATACCTCTGTCGAAGCCAACAACTCATAGAAAGCTTTTGAGCGAATGAACCATGGGTTTCACGCCGCAAGCTTCCAGCATCGGGATTCTTTTCTAGCATCAGTCAACGTTAGATATCCAAGTAGCTAACTTGGACTACTGGATAGCTACTCTCTTAAAGTGTACTAGATTTTGAACCCCCGTAGATTATGAGTTGGATAGGATGGAAGTTAATGCCTGCTAAATACCAAATCCCAGCAATATCCTCGTCGTCAGGATACCCTCATGATATAACGCCCCCCCAGTGCCGTAACCAAGCTCCAATGCTCTGTATCCATGAATCCCAAGCCCCCAGCCAGAGCCAGAAATAAACTCCCCGTCTTGCAAAGCTTTACTCGTTCTCGCCCTGTGCTGCCACGCCAAAGGCTTTGGAGATTGCGACCATAAACTTCCGCATCTCCGCCCAGTGCTTCTTCTCCTCCTCCCGGTGTTTTTTGTCCTCTTCCCAATATTCTTTCATCTCCTCCTGGCGTTTCTTCTCCTCCTCCCTGTACTTTTTCATCTGCCCCTTGAATTCCTCGTTCTTCTTCGCTTCTTCGCGAGCTTCAAGTTGCATGACGACCACCTTGTCGACCAGAAGTCTCAGACTATTCTCGTATTTTTCCAAGAGTGCCGCCTTGTGGTCCATCGTCCATAATGGGTTTTGTTCTATAGCCTCCACCACCTTGTCAATGTCGAATTCTTCTTCAGCAGTGGATTGTCGCGGACGCTTGTCGAGGGGCTGATGGCCAAGGGGACTCGGAGACGCAACGCGTTTTCCTTCTGCGTTTGGTGCTCTGGAGATTATCTCCTCTTCAGAGAACTCGTCTTCAGAGATGTATTCTTCGGAGTGACATTCGTCGGAGACGTATTCTTCGGAGACCTCTTCATCAGTGGTATATTCGGTGATAGCTACTTCTTGATCTGTGGAGGAGCTATCATAGCCGGCACGGGATTGTATATTTTCCATGAGTTCGACAAGATTCGGAACGGAAGGGTTTGCCGAGTCTTCATCATTGATCGTCTCCATCATGGCGTTCTCGGCAATACTCTCCAATCTTGTGGTGGTTTTTACACTTGGGAAGAGGAGCGTGAAACAAACCGAGAGGTGAAGAAGGGAAAGAAGAAGAAAACGTTCGAGGAGAAGTTGAAGAGGTCAATAAAGAACAGGTCATGTGAGTATGCATTCACCGTGGGTAGAACCGAAGGGGTGGTGATATAGAGGGTGACAACTGATCACAGCTGCCAAGGGTATCAAAGCCGGTTTCATTCGAAGCATTATTGAGTAGTGAATGTAGTTGGTGAATGCTAGAGAACAGTCGGATGAAGACGCTTGATCTGCACTTCAATCATAGTCACTGCCGTCATATTAAAAAGGTGGAGAGACGTCGTGATACAACAACGTGGTTTAGTCAACACTAATTTGGGATACCGTAACATAATCCTCTGAAGATTGCTAAATCGACTTAATCTACACTGCCGTTTAATTCCCATCACTTTAAACCACACAGAATCAAGCTTTCCTCTGAGTCCGGCTAAATAGTTCCCCAAAGACTGGAATATCGCGAATGAGGCTTCCAATCTGGTCCGTTGCTTAGTCCTATACATCGTAAATATGGTGATCCCTCGGGGCAGATATCCTCATTCTTGGTCGTCATTGTCGCTTTCGTCAACGACTTCGATTGGCAGCGGAATACCTGCCGTGTTTGCAAATGCCGTCATAAACTGACGCATCTCGGAAATGAAACCATCGAGTTTGGCCTCGCTCCTCATTGCGGTTTCTTTGGCAATCTTCACATCCTCCTTCATTTCGAGGAGGTCGGAGCTCGTCATTCGCGGCCTTTCGGCTGTTGTCGAGGCGAACTTGGCAGCATCAACAAAGCGTTGGAAGGCGAGAGACGACCCGACACCAGTGACTACGTGGTCAATATCAAAACCGCCATTGTCGGTTGCTTTTCGTGTGCGTTTAGGTCCCAATGGCCGAAATGTCAGAGAGTGCTCGACGGCGTTTGGCCGCTGGAGGGGATTTGCATATCCCGAGAGCTACACTCTGCTTTGCCTGACACACTGGCTTGAGGACGGTCACCTGTTCTTCGGTTCCAGAGAAAGCATATGCGCCGTCCACAGTCATGGTTATCGTGGCATTAGTGGCCACGGCTGGCTTATTGATCGTGGTCCAGTTAGGGCGTACGACGGCAGATGAGTCCAATGTGGATGTGACCATTTCCTCTTGTTCGCGAGTCTCGAGTTGGGTTGCCTGTGCCCAATACATTACGACACATTTCATTCCATCAGCGTACCTTGGATCATCTGCCGCAAGGTTGAGATCCTTCTCGCCGAATCTGATGACATCTTTCTTCCTCTCAGTCTTTGCGGCTGACATCTTCAATTGTCTTGAATTCGTCGATGGATGTCAAGAGGCGAGCGAAATTAGGCGCAGAGATGGAATAAGGGGGAAATTTGCAGCAAGATAGGAGAGGGACGTGCCATTATGTCTGGGAGTAAAGTGAAAATAAAACTAAGTGGATTTTGGCAGCCCATTCGACAGCTGTCACAGATGCTGGGCTTCGAATTCACGCAGATGTCTGAAGATGCTGGGATAAGGTTGATAAATTGAAACCATTAGTGTATGGTGTTGATGACGCTGGAGATTCCGCCGAAGTCACTGGAGAGGTTATTGCTCCGTCACATCAGCCAATCGATACCAGCGATTGACATACCCAGTTACAACAGTGGCTCAAGATATCACGAGATAATAAAGGCCGTAGAATTAATGTGAAAAGCTGGATAGTAATAATAGTGCGTACTAACCATCACCTCAAGACCGATAGTGGTCATATAGCAGATACTAGAAGAATTTGCAACAATATCTAGCAGATATCCCAGAATGAGTGATGATAGTCGATAGTAGTGGATAGTAGAAAAGGTAGCGATACTAGCAGATACTAGAGATAGTAGCGATACTAGCAGATACTAGAGATAGTAGCGATACTAGCAGATATCAGACGCGCCAGTTTCACAAGACACTTGTTCCGTATCTTTGATGTTGTAGTCTCCGCAACGCTGGATACAACTTGAGATGCCGACCAGTAGAGATATCATAACACACAGCAGCTGTTCCGAGTAGCACCAAGCTGAGATTCAGTCAAAAAGGGAACCGTATTTCATTCATTATTATCGACTAAACCCACGCCATTATTTCATCCCTCATAGCTTCGTGTCAGGCACAATCAAAGCCAGCTTCTCCCTCAGCGCAGTCTCGGCCTCCTTCTCAATACGAGCAACCAGTTCGCCGCAGGTCGGGATATCGTGAATCAGGCCCATGACCTGGCCTGTCGTCCAGACCTATCAATCCCCACCACTGTCAGTAAGACGAAATAACAAGAGACCCAATAGGCAAATAGAAGGTGAAGGGGATAATAAAACTCACGCCGTATTCCGGGTCACCATTAATGAAGACCTCCTTCCCTCTCTTTCCACTAACATAAGGCGCCACCTCTGAGAATTCGCCCGTCGTACTCTCTTTCTCAATCTTTAGCGCATCCGTCGCCACCTTGTTCTTGTACAGCCTCGTGGTGTTTGTCCAACGTCTCAACAACAGCGTCGTGTCCGTCTCCTGGCCTTTGACGATGGCCTCCTTGATGTTTACATGTACAGGCGCTTCTTTTGTGGCCACGAACCGGGTTCCCATGTTGATACCGCAAGCTCCCAACACCAGCGCCGCCGCAAGTCCCTGCCCATCAGCAAACCCCCCCGAAGCAATAAACGGAATGTTCAGCGTCTGCCTCGCCCTGCTCAACAAGATGAAATTCGTAATGTCGCTCTCGCCCACGTGCCCCGCGCACTCAAACCCGTCAATGCTCAAAAAGTCGACGCCCAGCTTGATGGCGCTCTGGGCATGGCGAATCGTCGTGCACTTGTGCAGCACCGTGATGCCCGCGGCCTTGAGCTGGCGGATGACGGGGCCGGGCGAGTTCCCGGCCGTCTCGACAATCTTGACGCCCTCGTCGATGATGGCCTGCGCGTAGGCCGGGTAGTCGGGCGGGAGCAGGGAGGGCAGCAGCGTCAGGTTGACGCCAAAGGGCTTGTCGGTCAGCGTGCGGCAGCGCTGGATCTCGGCGCGCAGGGCTTCGGGCGTCGGGGAGATGAGGGCGGTGATGATGCCCAGGCCGCCGCCGTTGGAGACGGCCGACGCGAGGTCTGCGGTGCCGACGTGCATGAGGCCGCCCTGGATGACGGGGACTGGGAGGCTTGTTTGTTAGCCGACCCAAGGCGAACGGTGATGGATGGTAAAGAAGGGCACATACCGCGAATGCCCAGGCGCCGGGTGAGCTCCGTGTTGAAAGGCATCGTCGCGTTTCTTGTTCTTGTTCTCGGTCTATGTCTTGTGCAGGTCCTGTCTGTTTCCTCGTCTTGTGTATTTTTTCTATTCCAGCATCCAAACCTCAAATATAAAACGCTCTCTTTCTTGCCTTGTCAAAATCAGCACTTCTTATAACGCCAGAAAAGTCTACGGACGGCAGCAAGATTACCGCTCCCGAACAAATAGCCCTTTATGCCGAGGCAAGTCTCTCGCGTACGCTGACAGCAGCCCCACCCTTCGATGGCCTTTTCCCTTGCATGTTATAGCTCGGCCCCATTCCACGCTTTGGGGTTAGGCTGAGCCCCGGACTTCACATGCTAAAACACCTTGAATACCTGCTGTGCAGAGACGAGACAAGATACAGTGAGTGGCTGCTGTACCGTCTCCTCCCTGTAACACTCTGCTGTATACAAACCCTTGTACTCTAGGCCATCGTCATCATCTCATCCAACCGCATCACCCGGATGCCAAGAATCAAGTGACCCAAGATGTCGTGCTTCGTTTCCTGGGGGATGAGTAATCCTGACACGGGTGGAGCAGCATTCCTACCTTTTAGTGCGTGTGCATCTTCCCTCGGTTCTCTGAATAGTCGTCCGACATTGAACTGGATTGAGTACTACCACTGCTATAGTAATCCTACAAGTCTCTCTCGTGTGCTACATCTGTATGTGCATACTTTATCCTCACTGCTCGTCAAGGTAATTGTTGGCTGTCGAGTTATCCAGAAAGGGCAATGCTTCCTATTCATCAGCTGCTCTCAAACTACCCCAGCTTCTCCATCATCACCGTATCGAGATCCCCCGCAATCTAACAAGTTAGCGATCCCACTTGTTGATTCACAGTATGTATGCCGCTTTCATGTGTTACAAGAGTTACAGAGAAGGGGGGTATTCCTTTCATTCACGCTCAACAAACTGCGTGTTACACATGTACAAACTCCTCCCACTCCCATACCCTAGTTCCGGATCCGACGGTTCTCCAATATCTGCCTAAGCCATCCAATGTGTGCAATTTTGTCCCCTTTATGCCAAAAACACATGCCCCATATTCCCGTTTACTGTAAGCCGCTGCGCAGCCGCTAGTGTGCGCCAGCATGGTATCTTGTGTTCCAATAACGCCCGACGTGGTAATGGAATACCCGTCACACTCTCAAGACACCTCACAAGATCCGTCCAGCGAATCCTCGGCTCACCTTTAGCCTCAATTGATGCTCGCAGTTGGTGCCAAGGCTACGCGGTCCCTTGGCTTGTCCACCAGATCAGCGTATCCGTCCAAGCTGGCGCCCATTGTCTTGATCATATCAAAGATGTGCGTGCCCTTGAAAGTCTCGGCCCAGAGGCGCACGACCGCACTCGCCAGCTGTCTCAACTTCATCGGGTCTGTAGTTGCAGTTTCCATCTGGGGGTTGGAATTTGCGCCAGCCAAAGATGGATCAACGGGGACGGCGAACTCGGTTTCGTCCAACATTCTCCTCACTGTTTCCAAGAGGTTTCTCTCGTCGAGGCTGATGGGAGCATCAGACGGTGTAAGAGACCCCAGGGTCAAGAGCCACTTGGCTAAAAGAAGAGCGCATTCAAAGTTGCATACTATTCAACCACGATTAGTTTTGCATCAAGCGGAGGGGGGGAAACGAATCAAGGGGAAGAAACGTACACGAATGCTGAATGCTCCATTCTGTAGACTTGGTTCTCGCAACATAGTTAACACCCGCCTTGACCAGCATGGATAATGCATGAACGGCTTGAAATACCGCCCCGTGGAGTCGCACGCTGCGCACAACGAGTGGTGTGGAAATCATGGCTGATGCCATCAACATCGAATCCCTTGTCTGTAGCTCTCTGCTTGGAGGGGTATCGCTGTATAGCCGAATGTACGCGAGACGCAGAAGAGCTGTCGCGTTATAGGCCAATAGGCCGCCTGGGGAAAAGTCTGTGCTGGCAAAGGGTCCTGATCCCGTGGCAAGGAGATAATGGTGCTGCTCGACCGTAGTATGCCATACCCGCAGCGCCTGAGTGACTTCTTCCACATCCTCCGGTTTCAATGTGCGTTGTGTTTCAAACGGCAAGCCGGCTGCCAGCGAGGTTTGCTTCAAAAAATACACGTGCTGGATGAGAACGTGAATGAGCACATAGAATCCCAGCGACGATAGATGATTTGGCAGCCCCTGATTCGTTCGGCCAAACAGCCGGGCAATGGCCTCGTGGACTGTAATCTCCACCATTGGAGTAGACTGCCGCAGCTCTTGCCACTGCCAAGAAGTCTCCGCTCTCCAGAGTCTAGCAGGAAGCGGCAAAGAGAGTCTGAGTTCCGACGTGACCAATAGAGGCGGCAAGTCATATGCGATACTGCAAAGGTTGAAAAAGGAGTACGCAATCAACTTAGTCCTGGTGGCCCCTTCGCGCTTGATCCAAGCATCCCAATCTGTGACGCTTGCTTGGCTGATGTCTTCAGTAAGCCCTTCTTCTCTGATCAAAATGGCCAGGGTGCTCTGCAATGACAGTGCCTCATTTAGGATTGTCTTGGCTCCCCACAAGCCAACAGAGAATAGGAGTAAGACGGCCTGGATTGTTTCCAATCTAGACTGGGGCGTGTTGGGAGAACTGTAATTGAAGATTTATGTATTAGCAACTCATAAAGAAGAAAATACGTAAAAGAACGGAAATCGTAAAAAGGTATTTACTTACTAAGGCTCCCGATGCGTGTCTTGAGTTATCGGCCTCTCCGACTGCGCTGAAGCAAAGGAATGCCGGTAAGAAGTACTAGGAGAAGGCCGTGTCGAGTGAGGGCTATAGGATGAAGCGTTTGGCAAGAGGGCGTGGATTTCCGAGCTATGTCTTCGTCGTATCTGCTCCATTGCAATAGCTTTTGCTGCATACCAGAGGGCATATCCTCTCTTACTCTCGAACCTGTACTGCGCTCCAACGGACAGGATGGCAAGAAGCAGCTCTGGTGCAAGCTCAGTGGGTGACAATGTAGGCAAATGCAAAAAGGGCAGCTGCTCATGGAAGCCCCCAATGTATCCCTCCAAGAAGCGGGTGAGCGTATAGCGAGAAGGGAAGACGAAGTCAGTCGGCAGCACAGACGAGAACTCTTCCAGACGATTCTTTATGACGCCGTGGTCAACCACCGATATGCGTAGAGGGGAGCGCGAAGCCTCCTCGTGCAGTCGAGAATTAGGCTCCTGCACATCAGGTGCAAGAGACCCGAAGCGGGAGGGAAGCTGTGAACTCGGCTTCGAGCCCCCGCGTTGAAACACGGCCGGAGATCGAGCAAAGAAGTTCATCTGCTGATCGGGCTCAAAGTGCGGAGGGAGGAAATGCTGCGGCGTCGTGTAATCGTCAAGGAATAGGTTGTAATCCTCGTACGCTGGCTGTTGAGGCTGTGGACCGAAGGCAGCCGCGAGAATTGGCGGATCTGCTCGCGCACGATCCGCATATCCCTCGATAGTATCAGGATAACTCTTGACTCTAGAGTGAGCTGGAGGCTGCTGGGGCATGCCGTTCAGCAAGGGCTGGATGGTGTTAACCTCGCTTGCCAACGCAGCATCGGAAAGGAGATCAAGATTGCAAGCTGCAGTCCGTGCTGCTGCTTGCGGGTCTTGCTGGCCAAGATGATGACTTCCCGGATCTGAAGCTATGGATCCGTGATGATATGGCGGTGGAGGCGCCTGGGGCTGATGCTGCTGTTGCTGTTGCGGCGGTGATGGCTGAGGGGGGAGGAGAGTGGTTGTGGTAGGAGGAGGAGGAGGGGGCGGCCGCAGCCTGTGAATCCCCATGACATCGAGGTCGACGTGGCCATCGGACAGAGATGGCTTGTGCATAGACGTGCCAGAGAGCTTCCTTGGCCTGGAGACATCTTTATGGCCTTCGTTTAGGTGAACAAGCTTCTCGTGCCGGACGAGAAGATCGCTGATGTCCATATAAGTCAGTATAACCCAACGCAAGGCGGGGACCGTGTAAGTGCAGCGAGGAGGTGGGAAGTGCAAAGTGGATCAAGGCGAGCAAAATAGCAAAGTTGAAGCTTAGGCAAGAAGCTTAGGGTGAGGCTAGAGGTGACACTCTGGAAGAGGGGAAAGGGGGGATATGTAAGGCAATGAGGAGGCGCGGGTACTCGTATGGGTACAAGCACCACATAAAAAAGGCACAGCATCGCATCACCTCATGCTAAACCACGCCATGGGCTATGTAGGTACTTACAGACATGCGGCAGAGGACGGGGGATTCGTTGAAGGTGCAAGGAAAACGGCAAACAGGGTCGGGTCATGGGGAGGGGGAAACGAATTGCTCTTACCGTCGCCCAAAGGTTTTCCCACAACGGTCCCAGCCACATGAAAAGGGCTTCTCTTTGGTATGAGTCCTCTCATGTCTCTGGACATGTTCAACGCGCCTGTAACTCGAGGAGAAGAGGTCATGTGAGCAACACAGCACGAAGCAGCAGAGTTGGACAGATGCGGAGCAGAGCGGGTTAGACTGACCTGAAGCGCTTGCTACAGTACTTGCAAGGCAATGTCTTGGGCTTCTGGTTGCGATTCTCGCCCACCTCGGCAATTGCGAGGGCACTGGATTGGTCTGGCGGTGGCAGAATGGCCGGGCCGTCCATGGTCTGGAGCGGGAGCATTACGAGCAGAAGCGAGGCCGTCAAGGTATGTTATAAGTGACAAGGAGCAACGAAGCAACAACGCAACAGCGACGGGATTTTGGGGGTAAAGGATGTGGGGGATGGGGGAATGGGAAGCAATCAAGGGCACGGCAGCTCGAATGAACAACAGATGGAGTATCAACAGGATCCGTCCGACCTCGACACAGATGAGAGACACGGCCCAGAGGAAACAGCAGTGTGGGGTCAGCCGGGTTTCGCACTCGGTCTGCTATCTGCAACCACAGTGGCTAGGAGGAGGAAAAGAGGCGACCGACTATGTAGCCGACTGGGGAGAGGGAGAGAGGCCGGATCCAATCAACAATGGACAAGCAGCAAGCAGCAATCGAGG